CTGAGGGTCCAAGCACAGGTGTCTGGATGCAGACCTTGGATTTTAGGCTTGCTGCGCTACCCCCCCCCCCCCCCCCCCGCATCAGCCTGACCCTAACACTGATCCTGACCCAGAAGACGTCTTCCAGGCCACTCCCATGCACTAGGCATGGCTTACGCTTGGTTCCATGGTGGGCAGAAGGCTGAGTGGGGGGATGCTGCTGGGACTGCTGGGCAGGTGCGTGGTGGGTGGACAGGAACTATGAAACCCATTGTCACAACAGCTTTCAGAGACAAGTGGCCTGAATTGATGATTCCTGCAATCCCTTGGCTAAAGGGCAAATTGAGAAACAAATGTTCCTCACTGGCTTAACAATTTCCAGCTTCACAGAGAATAATCTCTGCCAAGTTTTTATCATCTCCCACCAGCATCTGCAGTCACACGACAGTGCCTCTCTTCCCTTCATGAATAATTCATTCAACAGTGATTCCTTCATCGTCTGGCTTTGGACGGCACCGTGCAACATGTTGGTTCTATTTCTTTTCAAACAAAAAATAAACGCAGTTGAGCAAAAGCAAACAGAAAGCATATGAGCAAATGAATCTACAATCATAAGCTGTGATCAAAGCCAAGAAGACAACAGGTTTATTGTAAGCCCAAGGGAAGCTACTGGATGAGCCTTCTGTGACATCCCCAAGGAACTGTCTGTACGTGGAGAAGGCAGATGGGATGCCCAAGATGGAGTTCGCATTAATTTCCAATTCCAAACATATTTTTGAAGTGCACCAGACACTGTGCTGTGTACTATGAGTTTGGAAATGAAAAGAAGCCAGACCTGTAATCCCAGCACTCAGGAGGCTGAGGCAGGAGGATCACTGTGAGTTAAAGGCCAGCCTGGGCTACATAGTGAGTTTAAGGCTGAAAAAAAACTTAAAAATGAAAAGAGAAGACATACGGATGGTGGTAAGAGCATGAAAAGATGGTCACCATCATAACTCATTAGGAAAATGAGAATCAAGACAGGGCACCACCACACATCTGCTAGGCTGGCTACAATCTAAAACAAAGAAAAGGAAAGGAAGTTTTGAGAAGGAAGTCAGGGAACTGAAGACCTTGTTCATTGCAAGAGAGAGCAAATGCTGCAGCCACTGAGGAAAACAGTATTACAGATCCTCAAAATGCTAAACACAACCATGCCAGTGCTACCAGTTCTTAGGTCTGCTGTGACAGGTGCCACCAACTGGAGGCGCAGACAGAGAAGCCTGTTGGCTCACAGGCCTGGAGGCTGGAAGCCCACAAGTGAGGTATCGCTGGGGTGGTTCCTTCTATTAGGGAAGGGTCTGCTTCAGGCTTCTCTCCTAGTATAGCAGTCTGCTTTCCATCAAAATAACAAAAATACCCGGGCCCATGCCTGTCATCCCAGCCACTCCAGGGCCCAAGGCAGGAAGACTGATGGTTCAAAACCAGCCTGACCCACTCAAGAGAGACCTTGTATCAAAATAAAAAAAGGGATAGGCATGGTGGTGTTTACCTGTAATTCCACTACTTGGGCAGTTGAGGTGGAAGAATTGGAAGTTTGAAGCCAGTCTGGGCTACACAGTGAATTCAAGGCCAGCCTGGACAAGATAGTGAAATCCTGACTCAAAAAACAAATTAAAAAAACCAAAAACAACTGAAGGCAAGAACTCAGATACTTTACACCCATGTCATAACAACAATATTCACAACAGACCCAAAGTGGAAACAATCCATTGTCCCTCAACAGTGAAGGGGAAAATAAGATGTGGCATATCCATACACTGGAATATTACTTGGCCAGAAAAAAGGAAATACATGTTGAAACGTGCTACTATTTAAAATATTAAACTCAATGAAACAAGCCAGGCAAAGGTTAAATACTGTATGATTGCATTTATATGAAATATCTAGAATAGGACATTCGTGGAGACTAAGAGTAGAAGAGATCAGTGGTTGAGGGAAAGGGGACTAGAAAGTCACTGCTTATTGGTTCAGTTTGTGTCTGAGATGATGGAGATCTGCAGATGGATATAAAGATGGTTACATAACTCTGTGAATATAAGGAATGCTACTGATTGTACACTTAAAAATGGTTAAAATAGACAACGTTTAGCCGCGTGTGGTAACCTACACCTGGTGCTGGGAGTCTGAGGCAGGACAATTTCAAGTTCAAACCCAACCTGGGCAACTTAGTAACTTAAAAGAGATCCCGTCTCAATGTAAGAAGTTAAAAACAAATGTAAAAAGGGGTTGGGGATGCAGCTCAGGGCAAAGGCCCTGGTACGCAGTATAATAAAGGGGGGAGGGAGGACGGAGAGAAGGCCTCCACCTTTGGACTTCCCTGCCTCCCGACAGTGAGCAGTAACTTCCTTTCTCCCTCAATCCACCTGTGGGTTCCACCAGCGCCAACAGACAGGGCAGTGTGCCCCAGGGCTGCCCGCTCCCTCCTCTCGAGCCCCAGGAGAGACAGGCCATGACGGCCTCCCTGTCCCTGGGCACGTAGCCCCAGAGCGGCCATCTTGGGGCCCAGGGCATTAGTCGTTCAGGGCTCCAGAGTCAGCTTGGTCTCTTACCCCCACCAGCGGTGACACGGAACAGTCCAGACAGCAGAGGTCACCCCAAAACCTCCTCCAGGCCACTCTGCCGCACTTGGGTCTAAGGGGGACAGAAAGCACAGGCTTGAGGAGGGGGCGGCCTTGAAGAAACAGAACCAGGGGGCGCCTGGTGTGCTGACACCCCTGCCTCAGCACAGTTCAGCTCCCCAGAAGGCCCCATTACACTAGAAGTTGGCTCCAGTCACCCACCTCCCGCCTTGGAGCCCAGCAGCGCAGGAAGCAGAGTCAGGCGACGGCCAGGGCTCCGCGCTGGTGACTTGGAGGCCAGGCCGCGTCTGTCCCACCCGCAGAGGCTGGGGACCCTCCAGGCAGGATGCTGTGCCTCCGCTGGCCCTTCACGACGGGGCTGTGTCCTCCATCTGTGTGCATCCTCGGCCAGCAGACGGGGCCCCATGAAGCCGAAGCCCTGGTCTTAGGAGGAAAACTCCAGGGACCTAGACGGGGGCCGAGAAGGGACAGTGCTGTCTTTTGGCTTCCTCTGCCGCTGAAGGGGTTTCTGCCCCCGGGAAGTGCAGTGGTTTGGGGGTCCTCCTCCCCCTGAGGGGTGGTCAGGCTGGAAAAGCAAGCCGGCGCTGAGCAGTGGTTTAGCCCTGGGAAGAGGACACCCGCCACGCGGCTAAGACCGCAGAGGGCTCCGTAGAAAATAAATGCATCTGTGGTCAAAGACACCCAGGCCAGCACAGCCCCATCTGACGTCCGACCCCAGGTGGGGAGCGACCAGGGGCAGCTACTGATGCCAAATAGCTCAGGAGTGCACAGCAGACGGGGCGCTATTGGGTAAGCAAGAGCTGAGGAGAGGCCAGACATGGTGGCCTACGCCTGTAAGCCCAGCAGGAAGACTGCCACGGGTTCAAGACCAGCCTGGGGTACCCAGTAAGACCCTGTCTCAAAGCCCCGGTCCACCCCCCACCCCCCCAAAAGAGGTGGGGAACAAGACAAAGGGGAGGGAAAGGGTCACCAAGTGGCTTAGTCGAGCTCAGCCCCAGTCTACAGTGCTGGCCTTGGGGGTGGCTCCAGTAGGACCTGGGTGTGGTGGTCATGGCTGTAATTCCAGCACTGAGGCTGCATGGTTCCACCTTCTAGTCTGGACTGGGACAGAGATGGTCAAGTTAGAAAGACAGCACTCTCACCAGCACACCAAAAGCAGTAAGGATGGCACTGGCCAGGTGCAGTGCTGCACACTTAGGCTGAGGCAGGAGAATCTCAAGTTCCAGCCCAGCCTGGGGTATGTAGTAAGACCCTGTCTCAAAAAGCCAAAACCAAACCCAAGCCCCAAGATCAATCTGGTGTCTTCCTGACCCAATTATCATCTCTGCAGTATCCAGCCCTGGGCTGCCCACGGCACATCCCAGAGACTGCAGAGCAGGTGGAGGCCACAGTGGGGCTTCGCACCAGTCTTTACTTGGGGAGCCTGGGCACCGAGAGGACCCAGATGCCAACCTCAACCCTCCTCCCTATCTGGTCACTCCACTCTGCTCTTCCCCAAATCAGCTTCAAGCACACATTCACCTGTGCTATTGCTGGTCTTCTCGAGCTAGTTTTACGTGACGTGTCCCCCCAGGACCTAGAAGGTAGCTGAGAAATATTTCCTGAGTGAACAAATGAACAAATGTGTGCTCTCATGTGGTTTTCATAACCCTCGCCCACCCCCACTGTTGAAAGGCTGCTCTGGGCCTGGCCACCAGGGCAGGGGCTGCTGTCACTCTGGCCTTACCTGTTCCTGTGCTTCTGGCCCAATCAGCACAGCACTGGGCAGTTTCAGTGGTGACAGTGACCTCCAGTGGCCGCTGGGAGCCATGCACAAACAAGGGAACAGGAGGGAAGTGCAACCTGGCTGACTCAGTTCCTCTTTCAGCAAGGTTGGCCCTCCTGCCTTTTTTTTTGGCTCCAGCCCCTACCACAGCTGACAAATCCAAGTGTCAAGAGCTGTAAAGAGACCACTTCTGCAGGGAAAGCTGCAGAGCAGTGAAGTCACATCCCGCGTCTGTTCCTCTGTCCCTGTGTTTGTGACAGCAGGCACCTGGAACCTCCAGGTTGGAACAGGAACGGACCACTTCCTCCTCCTGCCCCTCACTGCCCACTTGGATTTCTCCAGAGCCACAGTTTCAGTATCGATGTCATTTAAAGGGACACCCAGGCAGAGGGCAGCCCGTCCTCCCATCACGACCTACTCTCCCCAGCAGTCTGCCCGAGCCCCATTCCCTTCCAGCTACTCATTAAGACAGCAGTGCTGCAGGAGACACCCAGAAGTAGCCCCAGCAACACCCCAACAATGGCAGGCCATGAGACGTGGGCACTGCGGGCCTCCAGGCCAGGCTCCTGTGTGCGCTCCCATGACCAACTAACCACGAAGATGCACGCAGGCGGTCTCACGCCACACTACTGGGCTGGTACTGCTCATCTTTATTGCCAGTTGTGCCATTTGCACGCAGGGGTGATGGCTGATGGACAAAGGTATGCCTCAGGCCAGATGCGCCAGCCTCCCACACCCTGGCTCCCATCATCCGTGCACAGACAGATGTGCAGAACCTAGCACTGCTGCTGTCCCTGTCCCACGGAGCACAGGGTACAGGGTGTGCAGGCACTGGCCACAAACTCCCCCAGCAGATGCAGCCAGTTAAACTGTCTGGGAAGATGTGGGGCCAAGCTGCCCTTTCCGTCAGCAATAGGGGAAAGATCACTGAGAAAAAGCTTCCAGTGGAGACCTGTCGGTGGCCAGGATGCACATTCCTCCTGCTTTCTAAGTCTTGGCTGAGCAGCGGAATCCCTCAGAGGCTTTCAGTTACTCACACTGTGCCGACCTGTAAGGCCAGACCCACCCCTCCATGGGCGCCCAGTTACGGCCACATGTCAGCTCCTGGTGACCTCAGTGTGCCAACCTCTTCCCGCAAGCGTGGCCCACGCCTCCATTATGAGGTGCAGGGACTGCTCATCTCTCCAAGATTAGCCTGAGTTCACCATCTTCCCATCTGAGCGGGGAAGGAGGCTCTCAGGCTCCTGTGCTCGCTCGCTATACTTGGGGTGTTCACGTGTCACAATGGCAGGCAGCGTACACTTCTCCTAAAGGGGAGGGTGCCACACTGACTTGGAAGCTGGGGTTCAACCTGGTTCCCACCAGGCAGTAACCACCTCTCAACTGCCCTGTGTCTCCTGAACTGGGAAGAGTCCACAGCGTGTGATCTCACATACCCAGCCTTCAACTCTGATACTGTCCACAGTATCAGAATCTCCCTGGGGCTTAAAGAAAGCAAAGACAGAAACATTAATCGCTAAGCTTTTGTTCTAAGGGGTTTTCTTTGTTTTTGCTCTGAGAACCCAATCTAAAAGGCCTCTGGGTGTGGTGGCGCACACCTAGGATCCCAGCACTCGGAAGCCTGAGGCAGGAGGGTCACTTCAAGTTTGAGGCCAGCCTGGGATATATAATGAGTTCAAGGGCAGCCTAAACTACATAGCGAGACCCTGTCTCAAAAAGAAAAAACAATTTTTTAGAAAAAAAATAAAAAGTTAACCTATTCAGATAAGTAAAATCTCAGGATACCTTAAAAAAAAAAAGAAAAATGCTAAAAAGCAAACATGCTACATACAGCCCGTAGTGAGATCATGGGTGAGTCCCACTTCCACATTTCATTTCTTTTTACTTCACCCTAACTTTACAGAATGAGCATTATTACCTTTAAAATCAGAAAACCAACGTAACTAACTTTTGAAGTTTAATTAGAAGTTGTATCTAATAATCACTTGGACGCTCCAAGATTCGCAGCACCAGCTCTGACTGCCATCTCCTTTCCCTAATTCCAAGTGAAAGGAACCCCCTATCAAGGGCCTACACTGCTCCTCATGGAGACAGAGCTGAGCAGCTCCGGTCTCAGAAGCTCATCCGAGGGGCATCAGTCTGCTGCAGGAGCTGTGTCCCCACAAGGAAATGGACTAAACACAGAAGCATGCACTCCTGCAGACAGTGAGTCCAACAGGAGTCACTCTCCAAGCGTGCTTCTGCCCAGCTGATGCCACCTGGGGCCCTGGCGTCTTCGCCCCTTCACTTCACAGGTGCCGCACCCAGGCCTGGCAAGCTCCGAGCAGAGGCCAAGGTCCTGTCAAGAGTCCAGGCTTTGGGGGCTTCCTTTGCTTTCTTCAAGTCTGGGCCGTTTTAGCTCTGGAGGACTATTGAGGGGGTCTCCGGGCATCTCTGAAACATCAACAAACATGAGGTTGGCAAATACATGAATAACTGTGTATACCAAAAGCTAACATTTGAGCCAGGTGTGATGGTGCACGCCTGCAATCCCAGCACCTCGGGGGCTGAGGCAGAGGCAGGAGGATCACCATGATATCGAGGCCAGCCTGGGATACACAGTGACTCCCAAGGCCAGCCTGAGCTGCATTAGTGAAACCTTGTCTCAAAAGAGGGGAAGGGGCTCTACCATTTGACTGTTTTTTTGAGACAGGGTCTCACTATGTAGCGGAGGCTGGCCTTGGACTTGCAGTAATCCTCCTGCCTCAGCCTCCCAAGTGCTGGGATTACAGCCGTGCATCACCACGCTTGGTCTGGCATTTAACATTTAAACTAGATGAGGTGACGCATGCCTGTAATCCCAGCACCCTAGGAAGCTGACGCAGGAAGACTAAGTTTGAGCCCAGCCTGGGTGAACCAGCACTTAGCAAAATCCTATCTCAAAAGAAAAACAATTTTAAAGGGCTAGGGATATAGCTCAGTGGGAAGGCTCCAGGCTCACTCTCCAGTATGGAAAGAAAAGAAGAGAAAAAAAGCTGCCATGTACAGAATACAGTGCCAAAGCAAGGAACAGAAGGGACCAGGCTGACTCAGCCTACCCAAGGGCAGCAGAAGCTGTCCAGTGACATTTGACAATGTCAGGAAGGCAAGGGGTGGAAGCCAGGGATCCTAGACAACCCCACCCTCTAATACCCGGGACAGCTCCCAACAACACATGACTGGCTGGCACAAAACATCAGCACTCAGGGTCAGGACGTTCAACCCACACTGGGCCACCGCCTAGCCACAGCTGGGCCACACACACCCAGTCCTCCTGCACCCCTGCCTGGCTCACAGGCACTGGGTCTCCTGTCCAGGGATAAACTGGCAGCCATCACGGGAGCTAAAAGATCTGCCAAGAAGCATTCTTGCTGTCCCTGAACTGAAAACTAGGAGGTATTCCTTTCCAAAAGAACAAAAGAGAAGATATTCTATCTTTAATTACATCAAGCCAGCTGGGTCTGGTGGCACACACCTGAAGTCCCAGCACTCTGGAGGCAGAGACAGGAGGATCACTGGCAGTTCACAAGGCCAGCCAGGGCCACACAGTGAGTTCAAGGCCAGCCTGAACTGCACAGCGAGACCCCGATTCAAAAAACCAAACCAAAACAAAACAGCAGTAACAATAATATTAAGCCAGGAACATCATCATTTACCTGACGGAATTTCTTCAGTAGAAGAGGTGAAAACTAGGCTGGCTGGTACAGAATTTGGTGGACTCTCTGTCTTCAAGGGTGTTAAGTTTATTCTCCTTGATTAAAAAAAAATAAAGGGATAGATGGCTTATTAGTGTCACAGAAGTTGTTTATGTATGATACTAAGTTTCCAAACTACCAAGAAAATTCTTAGATGTTTCAGCCGGCCCCGCCATGCCGGTTATTAAATGTAATAATGTGAGTAAGTGAGGGTTACATTCATGTACTAAGTTAAACCACCACATTTAGAACGGCCAACTAGGGTCAGGGATTTAGCTCAGTGGTTCTGCTGCCTGCCTTGTAAGCACAAGGTCCTGAGTTCGATCCCTGATACCAAAAAAAAAAAAAATAGAATGGCCAATTGAAATCAAAACCAGCCATCGCTGAGCATGGTGTTGCATGCCTGGTAATCCCAGCACTTGGGAGGCTGAGGCAAGAGGAACCCCGTGAGTCCCAGGCCAGGCTGGGCTACATAATGAGTTCAAGGCCAGTCTGAACTACATGGACACTGACTCAAGAAAACTAAAACAAAAAATTTCTAAGAATACATTCCTCTACCTAAAATACCAAGAGAAGGCGAGGTGTGGTGGCACACACCTGTAATTCCAGTACTCATGGGTGGCTGAGACAGGAAGATCACCATGAGTTTGAGGCCAGCCTAGGCTACGTATCAAGACCCTGCCTCTGAAAAAAAGAAAAAATAAATAAAATAAACATTGCCATGGTGCAGAAGCTGAAGGTTTTAAAAGAGCCGAGCATCGCTTCTCGGCCTTTTGGCTAAGATCAAGCGTAAAAAGAGCTGAGCACTAACCCTGAACCATGGCAGGAGTCTGCTGACAGCCACATGCACACATGACAAGCAGCGTGGGAGGAGGCAAGTGCTCCTATTGCTTTGGCCACCCCACCCTCGGTGCACCCCTCTCAGCACATCTGGAGGTCAAGGCTGGGGGACCCAGCAGAGGCCCACGAGCAGGAGAGTGACACCCTTGGATCTGACATCAGACTGCTGGCCATGTGGCCTCTCACCTCTCACAGCTGGGGCTGATGAATTCCCGCCCCGTCAAATGTCCTTACCGGGGGGTGGTCCTGCTCCAGGACTGCAGCGTGTTCAGAGTGACCCTCCGGGACAGGTGGCCCTTCGTGTTCTGACTACTGGGCTGCAGCATCACCTCCTCAGAAGAGCCTGGCAAGGGGCCCTTAGTACCAGGAGTTGTCGCAGGAGCATCCTTGACCGCTGCTGGGGCTGGAGCCTGTCCTGCCAGTGAGGGGGTCGCGGAGGGGCTGCTGGGGTCCTCCACTTTGGAGGTGGGGGTCCCCTCTGCAGGTCTGGGCCCCGGGGAAGACCCCTGCTGGGCATGATTCTTAGCTTTCTTCACTGTGTCGGGGGTCCTCACGTTCAACACGGGCTTCTCTTTCAAAGGGATGCCAAGTTCATCTTTCTCAAATGTCACAAAGGAGCAGTACCCATCAGTGGACGAAATAGCCAGGAAGGTCCCATCGCTGGACCTTTGTTCCCAAAGCAGGGGAAAAAGTTAGAGCCTTTCCCGAAGTCGCTGGCCCACAACACCCCTGTGACCTAGTTGGAAAACAGGAGTTCAGCGGGATCACGAGCTTTCTGGGAAGTGAAGGAGGAGTCAGGGGACAGCGCAAGGGAAGCAGGAACTGCAGGCTCCTCACACACTCAGTGTCCTTGCCCAGCCCTGTCGCAGGGTCCCAAGGCTCCAACCACAAGCCATCAGTGTCCACCAAATCAAGGTGGGGTAATCTTTTCCTGAGATACAGAGGAAATTCTAAGAAAGGGGGAAAAGCTGTGAAGACCAGGAAATACAGGGCGAGGGACCAGGGCTCAGCTAGACCATGAGCTGGGCCAGGCAGAGGCCAAGTCAGGGACTAAAAGGCAGCGAGGAAGGGCAGGGTGCCGGGTGCACACATGGGATAGGCCAGGCAGCTGAGGGCTTCCTCCGGAGGGCCTGGTGCACCTGTAATGAGCAGGAGACGCTGGGCCTCCCCTCCATTTACCCAAGTTCGATCTATCCCACAGAGCAATCGAAATGGTGTCAAAAGCCACAGCTGTGAACCCAGGAAGCAGCATCACAGCAAAGTCGAAATGGCCTGCCGTTCACTGTGGACACCGTGTGTGACTAGGGAACAGGGCCAAAGCCATGTGTAGTATGGAAATGCCCGAGCCCCAGCTCTGCCCAGGGCAACGCCACTGTCCCTGCGGCCACTCACCAGGAAATGTCACTGAGAGTGTGGTAGTGGATGTTGGACACGTAGCCGAAGGGGAACGGCTGCTGAGTATCATAGAGCAGCACAGAGTCCTCGGAGGCCACCGCAAACACCAGGCGGTAGGGCAGGCGCACCAGCTCCCCGGCCAGCTCCTGCGTGGCTCTGTCTGCAGGGGCGATGACAGGAAAGCAGCAGTGACAAAATCTAGGGGGAACTGAGTTCCCCAAAAGCCCTTTCCCGGGGGACGTAAGGGACATCATTTTACCCAAAACTAGTTTGCTACCTGCTTTACAAAGAATGCAGTTCTTAAGGCTTATGTTAAATGTATCAAGTGAGGACAGTGTCTGGAACTAAGAATAATGGCCAGTGAGGTTCAAAAAACAAATAAGGAGAGCTGGGGCGTGGTGGCCCACACCTGTGTCCCAGCACTCAGGAGGTTAAGGCCAGACCAGGCTGCATACCGAGATCCAGTCTCAAAAATAAAACAAGAAAGAAAGAAAGAAAGAAATGGAAAAAGGAGTTAATCTCATGGGTCACTTTCTGATAAGGAAAAATACAAACATTCTATCAAGTGACGTTTTACTGCTTTGTGGAGTAGTCATATTCATTCATATTAAAGATGACTATGTTAAAAACAGCTTCTGTAGGGGCCAGGGATTTAGCTCAGTGGTTCCACTGCCTGCCTCGCAAGCGCAAGGACCTGAGTTCGATCCCTGGTACCAAAAAAATAAAAAATTAAATTAAAAAAAAACAGCTTCTGCCTCCAACCATGGAGTAACAGAGACTGAATTCATGCTCTGTGACAGCTACTCTGGACTGTCAACTTGATGTGGCTTGAGAGCCACCTAGGGAACTAGTAAAGCACACTCTGGGTGAGTTTAGGTGGGTCATGGAGGCAGCACCTGGGCACTGTATCTTGTCTCTGATTCCTTCCTCTCTGGTGCTATCCCCTGCTTTGCTTTGCTATCCCTTCCGCCATGATGCTCCTGCCTTGGAGCCAGTTAGACCATGGACTGAGCCTTCTGAACCCATGAGCCCAATAAACCTATTCTTTAGGTTGCAGATAGCTGGTAATTTGTCCTCACAATGAGAAGGCTAACATATGCTCCCAACTGAAAAAGACCAAAATACTGGCAAAATACATAGAACAATAGTTTCTGAAGACAGTGGCCATCAGGCGACAACAGTGATTCCTGAGGGACAAAATGAGCAATTTAAGTCTTACAATTGCCTGGTACATTCCAGGCCCAGCAAAGGTAGAGAAAGCCAGAAAGGGCCCAGGAGACGCCCAAAGAGGGGTGAAAAGAGGGAGCTGAGAGGTGAGCAGGCCAAGGTGGCTGGGGTTCAAGGGCAGGTGTGCAAACACTCTGTAGAGCCTGAGGTCCCACCCGGATACAGACCAGGGCACCTGTGAGCACTGCCTGAGGCTGAAGGAAGAAGCCCTGGCACTCCTGTTTCACAGGGCACTGGTGAGAGCCTGCGGAAGGCCTTGCCTACGGAGTGGGAAAAACCACCCCTCACCAAAAACTGCTGTAATCACACACACACAAGGCTTAAAAGGAAGGCCCCCAGACCAGGGATTTAGCTCAGTGGCACCCCACCTCTGCCTCGCAAGCTCAAGGCCCTGACTTCAATCCCCAGTACCAAAAAGAAAAAGAAAAGCAAGGCCCCAAACAATCAGCGTTTCTAAGTGACTTAACTGCATCCTAGAAAAAAAGCCCAAGAATATTTGTAAGAATAAAAAAGCAGCCGTCATCCACTAAGGTAAATCACAATGTCTGGTATAGGATCAAAAATTACCCAACAGGCAAAGAAGCAAGAAATATTACCCACAATGAGGAGGAATAAAAACTAAAATCAACCTCTTATACACAGAACATGATGAGTTATTGTAACTGTATTTTGTATGTTCAAGAAACAAAAGGAAGGAAACAAGTTAACTAGAAACATGGAATATAGAAGAAAGGCTCAGACTGAACTTCTAGAGACGAGAACTGCAACATCACAGAAGGAAAACACAATGAAGGGACCAAGGGACGATTGCAGGGAAGAAAAGATTCATGGGCGCAGAACACAGCTACAGAAACTTCTAAAGTAAAACTGAAAAAAAAGACTAGAGTATCAATAAGCCACAGGATAATGTCACATGGCTTCATACGTGTGTAACTGGGTATTAACTATATCTGAAGAAGAGAGAGGAAGACAAAAAACACCTAAAAAAGAAAGACCAAAATGTCCCCGATCTGATGAAAACCATAAACTTAAAGATCTAAGGAGTTCAAGGAACCCCAAGCACAAGAAACATGGAGAAAACCACTCGAAGGCATCATAATCATCTTGCTTAAGGCCACTGATAAAAAGAAGAGTCTTCAAAGCAGCCTAAGGGAAGAAAAATAGTTAAAAATCAATTCATACATAATCTTACTGTATAGAAAATCGATCATGAATGCCATTTGACCAGTAGGAAAACAAATCTAGTAGCCAGAGCAGAGCACCTTAATCTAGCACTCAGGAGGCTGAGGCAGGAGGATCAACATAAGTTCAAAGCCAACCTGGGCTGCATAGTGAGTTCAAGGACAGCCAGTATTACATAGCAAGACTCTGTCTCAAACCAAACAAAAACGTAGTTTCAATGATACAGAAGTAAAGAGTGGAATGGTGGGTACCAGAGGCCAGGGAAAGTGGAGGAGGGAGGGACAGGAAAGGCTGGTCAGCAAGTACTAAGAAATGTGAACATTATACGATGCATGCCTGTCTCAAGCACCATGTGGTACCCTATAAATATGTACCACTTTTAACGGGTCTATAAAAATTAAAGATGATTAAACTGAACCAAACCTACACCCTCATGCTTCCCAGGAGACAGAGCTCAAATCCCCCTGGCCACAGTGCAGTCTTAGAGGGACATGGATGCCTCCCGAGGGTCGCCGTACCTGATTCCACCACCGGCCTCAACTCAAAGTAGACCGGACAGCAGCGAACCGCAAGCGTAGCCTTCCCGGGACACGGAAGATGGGCGGCTGGCCTAGGAGAGTGACTTAGGGTTAGAAACAGGCACGACCACTCGGCAGAAGCCAAGGAAAGGGCAACGTCTCCATTCTTTGCTCTCCTGCCTACCTTTTAAGGTTTTTCCTGGAGAAAATGTAGGTGGTGTTGGTGACGTTTTCCCCAGACTCCACACATCCGGCTGGGCGGCAGGAGAGGGAAAGGAAAAAGTCAGTGTTAGGGCTCACTGCCCCCCCAGAAAGCTCCAGAAACTTCCGGTCTGGTTAGGAACAATGTTATCCTGGGACAATGTTTTTGTGACTGGAGATGAATCCAAGTATTTGTCACCGTCTGGTCTCCGTACTAGAGTTCCACTCCCTGGCATCTCCACCTGGGGGCTCAGAGGCCCTGCAACCAAGGCAGGAAAAACAAAGTGGGGCCCCGCTACCAAGTGTCTCATCAGAGAATCCAGACAAAGTGTTCGGAAGGAGCCCATGACCCCACCTGCCAGCCGGGCTCCGACCGTGTTCATCATCCAGCGTGAGCCTGGACATTTCCCGTCTGCCAGACCCAGCCTATGTCTGGGAAGAGCTCACGTGTCAGAGCCTCCGCAGTCCCCAGCTGGGGCCAGGGCCACAAGGCTGTCACACATGTAATTTCACATGTCATCATTCTGTATCTGCTGGAGAGGCCAGGAGACAGGATCAGGAGCTTTTTACTATCACTCTTTTTTGTTGTTGTTTTTTTGAGACAGGGTTTCACTAAATGGTTCAGGCTGACCTTGAACTCGCTATGTAGCCCAGGCTGGCCTCAAACTCAAGGCGATCCTCCAGCTTCAGCCTCTCAAGTTCTGGGATTACAGCTGGGTGTCACCACGCCTGTCACTGGGTTTAGTAAATAACTTTTCATAAAAGCCTTTTAATAACTCTAGTTATTAAGGAATGTAAGCAACTACTTCTTCCTGGCCCTGAGAGCTCCCCAGCCCAGGGGGCAGTCCAAGCCCCCAGTGCTCCTTAGGCCTCTCACACACACATGCATGCCTCTCGGCCTCCAGCCTAGCTAGCTCTTAGTGGCAGACCTGACCTGGGTCCTCCTATGATGACCAACCCTGGGTGACCCGACATCACACACAGAATGGCTGGGAGCCATGGGGTCACCGGACACTGCCCTGCAGTCCTTGCTGAAGGCCATGAAGCCATCCCGACCTTGCCAGTTCTGCTGACTTGCAGATCTGCCCCTCCTGTGCCCAAGGAAGCCCAGCTACGTCCACCCCCGTCTAACCTTGCCATCACAGGCTGCCTCAGAATGGAAGAGTCAGACAACAAAGACATGCTTTGTCTTTGTCTTTAGAACTATGACTTCCGTGTGCATATCTACTGAAAAGTCGTTCGTGAAAAGGTTTAAGTAGTAAATTTTCTTACAGTAAAATTTATCTTAAGAGATAACTTTCCAGCACTCTAGTCTTGCAAGTCCCAAACTTGCGTGAACATCAGAATCACCTGGAAATCTTTTTAAAATTTCAGAAGCCGGGCCACCCACCCCAGGCCAGCGAAGCCACCGTCTCTGGGGAGGGGACATAGGGAGCAGCACCTTTTTCAAGCTCCCCTGGAGGTTGCTACGTGCAGACTGCACCAAGTCACAAAGCCGCACCACTGTCCGGGAGCCCAGTACCCCACTCTGCCTCACACGCTAAAGCGAGCGCTGCCAAACGCACCTGGGGTGAGCAGCAGGGACCCGTCGGGGGTGAAACTGAGTCTCCGGAAGAAGGACTTCATGCTGTCGTCATGAAACATCCGGTAACTTCTAGCCTGTGGCATACAGAGTTGAAACATCATTCTAGATCTTTACGCCCACAGTGAAGGCCTGCTGGTTGTTAATGACATAATACATGAAATGAAACATATTACAAATCAAGAAATGATGTAAGACCGTAAGAGCAACTGCTCACGAGGGCCAAGCACCCATCTCGTCAAGGAGGCTGTGTGCGTCAGTCTGTGTGTCTGTATATCATTATTATTATTTTTTTTGGTACCGGGGATTGAACTTGGGTCCTTGTGCTTGCGAGGCAGGCAGCAGAACCACTAAGCTAAAGCCCTGGCCCTGGCTGTATATTATTTAAAAATCGTTGGGCCAAAGCTTTAGCTCAGTGGTTCTGGCGCCTGCCTCGCAAGCGCAAGGTCCCGAGTTCGATCCCCGCTACCAAAAAACCAAAACAAAACAAAATAAAAAATTGTAAGAACACACATGAGCAACCCTGGTTTGTCTGGGAAAAACTTGCAGGAGGATGACAAGGGAACCTTTGCTTTTTACTTGCATATACACATTTAGAATTTCCAAGTGAATGAACACTTTTTAAAAAGAAAATAGGGGATTATTAAGCTGGTCAGCATCTTCTCAAACACTTCTTGAATGCCTGTGTTGCCCCTTTCACTAAGCGCCTGCCTCAGGACTCTCGACTGCTTTAGGACTCTGTCCTGTTTGCCTCCTCCTTCCGACCCGTGCTCTTCCTCACCACGAGCTACTTCCCAGGAAGAAACCACAACACTCGCTCTGTCCCCAGGTGTCCCCATTCCCATACAGACCAGCCCCACACTGACTGGCCTTGGGGTCTTGGCTACAAGGATGCGACAGGGAGCTCACGCCTTCCCCATCTCGGCTGAGGCACTACTACAGGGAAGTCCATGTATTTCCTACCTCTCCTTCAGCTCCCACTCCAGACAGCATCTTGGAAACATTAAAAGCCACGCGTTTCTTCTGTGTGCTGTACACACGCAGCACCCTGAAGAAAGAACAAAAATGTGATTTTTCCAGCCAGGGATTTAGCTCAGTGGTTTCGCTGCCTGCTGTGCAAGCTCAAGGAGCCGAGTTCGAGTCCCAGTTCCAAAAAACAAACAAACAAACAAAAAAGAAATGTGATTTTCCTCATCTAGTGAATGAATTACGCTTCACAGTCTACTACCAACTGGACAGCTGTCCGCCTGTAAAACCATTACAGGTGACGTCACAGCCCCATTAACATCTAAAAGGCAGTGCAGTGGGGAAACAGGTCATAATTTTATTTTTATTTATTTTTCATCAGTGTTTCAACTTCTAAGTAAGACACACTTTAGGCCCAGATTTATTTTTTTAGGTCTTGGACATTTGGCCCAGGAGCAGTCAGTGTAACTGCAGTTTGTTTTGTGCTTAACAGCTTCACTTTTGGGGATTTATGAGACTAAAGAAAACATGCACAGGTAAATCTGGCTAAGTCACAATATCCCCACTAACCAATCAAACTGTTTTATTCCTGGTTGCCTGAATAAAACATGAGCCAGAAAATAAATCGCATTCAGAATACAACAGGAGGTTCTATGAAAACAAACTCTCACCCTTCTAAGTTGCTTTTATCCCGGGGCTATATTAAATTCAATTTTTAAAGTAAAAGTAGTTAATAAATACGTGAAAGGAATATTTTGTTAAATCCCCGATTTTAAAAACTATTTGTTCAAGAATGCAATTATACCAACAAACACAGCAATGACACATCCTTTCAGAAAGCAAAAGACATTTTGGGGGGTGGCAGTACTGAGGAGTGAACCCAGAGCCTTCACACTGACCTGCGTCCGCAACCCTTATTTTTAACTTTGAGACCGGGTTTCACTAAGTCACTAAATTGCCTAGGCTGGGCTCAAACTTGGGATCCTCCTGCTTCAGCCTTCTAGAGTGCTGCATTATAAGCATGTGCCACCACGCTTGGCAAAACATTTCATTTTTATATGAGTTTAAAAGGCGTCATTAAAATCACCGCAGTAGTAAACTACCATCAAAAAGAGAAATAAATGAGCTGGGGATGCTGCTCAGTGGTAGAACACTCCACTAGCACCACACACACGCGTCTGTACTGAAATACTTAAATCCTCCCGGGTTTTTTTGAGTTATATTCATAAAAGGCCTTTTCTTTAGGCCTCCTGGGAAATTAAATGTAGTTCCAAGTTTATTTGATATCAGACATCTCTTCCTACATTTGTGCACCCAGTCCATAGGTTCACTAAGCACTGTGTGAGGCATCGGCCCTAACTGGTTTTCGCTTCTTATCGCGTTGTAACAGTATGAAAACAAGAACAGAAGAACCACAGCCAGTCTGTGACTCACCCTGGTTAAACTGTGACAAAAATACCTCTGCAGAAAATTCCAGGGAACGCACGCACGCGCGTCGGGGTCGGGGTCGCGGGGACGCCCACGCCCGCCTGCGTCCTGCGTCACAAGCCGGGCGCGCGCAAGCCCGCCCACCCGCCCGCTGGTGGCTCCCCGCGCCGCAGCCCGGTCACCGCGGCGGCAGTGGCAGGCCGGCCGTAAGAACCTAGGGTGGCGCGGCCCGGAACCGCAGCCCCGCCCCGGCCGCCGCGGCGTGACACCAGGAGGCCAGAACGAGCTAAGGGCTCCCGGCCCGTGAGGAGGAAGAGGCCGCGGCCCCGTCCCCGCGCCGCCGCCGGCATGAGCTGCTTCCAGATCCCGCCGGGGCTCACGGAGCTGCTTCAGGGCTACACCGTGGAGGTGCTGCGGCGGCAGCCGCCCGACCTCGTGGAGTTCGCCGTGGACTACTTCACCCGCCTGCGCGACGCCCGCGGCCCGGCCGCCGCCGCCGCCGCCGCCCCGTCAGGCGACTCCGAGCCCGAGCCTGACGCGGCCCCTGACGCCGAAGCGAGCAGCGACTCGGAGGTGGACGAGGACCTGGAAGTCCTGGTTCCCAGCAGATATAACAGACGAGTGTCAGTCTGTGCAGAGGCTTATAACCCTGATGAGGAGGAAGACACTGATCCGCGGGTGGTTCATCCTAAAACTGATGAACAGAGATGCAGACTTCAGGAAGCTTGCAAAGATATTCTTCTTTTCAAAAATCTCGATCAGGAACAGCTTTCTCAAGTCCTGGATGCCATGTTTGAAAGGACAGTCAAAGTGGATGAGCATGTCATTGACCAAGGAGATGATGGAGACAACTTTTATGTCATAGAAAGGGGAACCTATGACATTTTAGTAACAAAAGATAATCAAATGCGTCCTGTTGGTCAGTATGACAACCGTGGCAGTTTTGGAGAACTAGCTCTGATGTACAATACCCTGAGGGCAGCTACCATCGTGGCCACCTCTGAAGGCTCCCTGTGGGGACTGGACCGGGTGACTTTCAGAAGAATCATAGTGAAAAACAATGCGAAAAAGAGGAAGATATTCGAATCATTTATTGAGTCTGTGCCACTCCTTAAATCGTTGGAGGTGTCAGAACGAATGAAGATTGTGGACGTGATAGGAGAAAAGAACTATAAGGATGGAGAGCGTATAATCACTCAGGGTGATAAGGCTGGCAGCTTTTACATCATCGAGTCTGGTGAAGTGTGCATCATGATTAGGAGCAAGACTAAAACAAACAAGGATGCTGGGAGCCAGGAGGTGGAGATTGGCCGCTGCCACAAGGGGCAGTACTTTGGAGAGCTTGCACTGGTCACCAACAGACCCAGAGCTGCTTCGGTGTATGCAGTTGGAAATGTCACCTGCTTAGTTATGGATGTTCAAGCATTTGAGAGACTTCTGGGGCCCTGCATGGACATAATGAAGAGGAACATCTCACACTATGAAGAACAGCTGGTGAAGATGTTTGGCTCCAGCTTGGATCTGACCGACCCTGTACAGTAGATATGCTACATCCCAGACCCTTCTCGGTGTAACACCAGACCCTTTTGGTCAGCCACAGAACACAAACGGAAAATAAACACGACAGAACCGTCCCTGCTGTTGCCACCACTGCTGCGATTGCTGTGGTTTTGGGCATTTAGAAAATTTGAAATCACTAGAGGATGAGCAGAGGTTTGACCCACACCTCCACTTTGCTTCTGAAAGCCCATTATTAAACCACTTGTAATGATTACTCCCAGTTTTCGCATCTTTGGTTTAGAACGAATGGCATGTCCCTCCAACAATGTAAGTGCCTGATATAAAGTCCAAAGTGTAAACAGCCTCCTTTCTTCTCTTGCTGCTACTACTGCTTTTGGAAGTTACCATAAAGTCTGCAGAAACCTGTTGTGTAACTGTAGACACTTTCCTCCCATCGTTTTCAAGGGAAGAAATGTAGCCTTCAGTCTCTTCATCTGTCCTTTGAGAAAGTCCACAATTGCTGTCTTTGGTTTTATATTAGAAAACGGTACCAGCTGTGATGAAGGTCTGTGGTCCACTGGCATTGTTCGACCTGCAAACAGCTTCACACATTATGGCTGTTTGCAAATCCATGGTGATGCTTATGGAAAGGCATGGCAGGTTAGTACTCCAAAGCAGACTGAGGTTAGTAGAACCCATGTTAGAGCAAAAATAATTGAATTCAGCACATTTTACCAGTAGTAGAGAGCAAGGAAAGGTTTTCTGGGTTAGAGGTTGTTTTTGTTTGGGGGAATGTTTTGTTTAACCTCTGCATTTTGTATGAATAAATGAATTGTCATCCATTTATAAGGAGCCTGGGGTGGCCATTTAGTTCACTTGGTTAGAGCATGGTACCAATAAAAATAGCCAGAGTCTGAAGGTGCCATTACTTTTTCTGAGCTAAATCCTTTCCTCAGCAGGTCCGGGTATTTCTTGTTCCTGGTTGCTTCTACTAGCTAATGGCAGTATGCTGACAAGAAGTGCTGCACAGACAGCCCGTTCCTTCTGCTCGAATTGTTGCATAGTTTGGTTGTTGAACTATCAATTTTTGAATTCCTTAGGTATGCTTTGCTTTTCTCTTCTAAGAAAAGTATTTCTTGGCTGGGTGTGGTGGAGCACACCTGTAGTCCCAGCACTCAGGAGGCTAAGGCAGGAAGATTTCTTGAGTTCATGGCCAGCCTGGGCTACACAGTGAGTTCAAGGCCAGCCTGAACTACTTAAGAGACCTTGTCTCAAAAACAAAACAAAAACAAAACTGTATTTCTGTTAGGGGAATTCCCGTTGGGATGTATTCATCTATAATGGAGCTTTGTCAGCTGCCTCAGACATTCATTCTAAAGTTCAACTCTGGGTTAGTTTCCAAAAATTGACATCATTGGGACTAGGGATAAAGCTCAGTAGTAGTGTACTCACCTAGCAAGCGAGAGGACCTGGGTTGTCCTCAGGACCACACAAAAGAAAACAACAGACATCATTTACAGTTTCATAAAATTCTCGTGAAGAAAAAAAAAATTACCGTGAAGACCTTTTTAATTAAGATGTTGGGATATTTGGGGTTCTAGCTGCTCATCCCTAAAGACAGTAATTTAACTTGTATTTAAAACATTTTTAACCTTTTAATTTTAGCAGGTAAAATTCTAATGAATTGTCCTAATTAGCTATATTTCAGAATGACTTTTTTCTTTAGAATGATTTAGAATCAGATGCTACAAGGGATCCTGAAGTAGAACTCTTTTTCAGACTACCCTGGGTAACCTATGTTGGAATTCTCAGAATCACGAAAGGCTGTATGTAACTAATACTCCAAAACAGACAGCCAGCACTGGGAAAGCCCATGTGGTGATCCTACATTTTCCTAAGGTTCTTCTTTTCTATGAGGTTGCTTTATTATCAAGTAAATTCAGAAAGCAGGTCTTGTACTTGACCAGATAAGAACCACACCTGTTTCTTGCAAAGAGAACAGGTGCATTGGGCTTCAAGAGTGACCCAGAAGTCCGGCCTCAGACCTTGTTAGGACTGTGTTTGAATGCTGAGATGCCCCCTGCCACTTCTTCCTGCCAGCATTGGTTAGGGTGGTCTGAATCCTGTGCCAGTTACTGCTAGGTGTGGGGCTTCTCACAAGTCCCACTATGTCTTCCCTGTCACAAAGCCCTCGATACCCTGACACAATGATGGTTACCATTTTACAGGTTAGAAGTCATCGTGTTCATGTCCTCCAGCTCCAACTCCAAGGGACATAGGCCCATCAGTCCAGACCCTCACTACATGTGAGTCCCCTGGGGCAGAGGAGTAAAAGGGTGGGCCCTAGCTTGAAGGAAGGCGACATTAAGAGAAGCAGCATGAATAAGAAAGAGCAAAGCCATTATCATACTGTTCCAGTTCCCTTTGCAGCTTGGAGGATCAGAGGTGACCGACCAAGTTTGACTGAGGCCTGAGGTGTCCCCATTGTGCCAAGGGAGCCCAACACTAACAGCTGAGCCTCACAGGGAGGCATGCATGTTGGAAAGAGATTCCTCTATTGTTTCATGTTTTCTTCTAAGCGTTGGGGCTTTATGCCCTCTTGCCTATCTTTGTTGTTGATTTTGGATGGCACAGAATGTTTCTGAGAGGCTTAGGCTTGAGGTCCAACCTGCAGTGTTTTCCTCCCTTTTGGCCATTTTTCTCACGCTCTTTTCTTGGCTGAATTTTCTGTTGAGTGGATTTTTTTTTTGGTACTAGGGATTGAACTCGGGTCCTTGCGCTTGCGCAGCAGGCAGCGAAACCACTGAGCTAAATCCCCGGCCCTTGGCTGAATTTTCTGAATGAAAGGTTTGTGTGTTCTTGTCCTCTTGGTCCTTAGTCTTCATATAGAATTATATTACATATAGTTGCTATATAGTCTCAGAAACCAGAAGAGAGCTTTTCTTTGAGCAGCTTAGCGAGTGAACTCGGCAGCAAAGTAGGAAGCAGTTCTCCAGCCAGGAGAGTGGTGTTCATCCCGAGTGCCCAGATTCTGGGCAGGGCACCTTGGATACAGCGTGTTGTATTGTGTCAGAGTACAATCTTCTCTCGCTTAGAAAAAGTGGAAGAATTTTGCAGAGACAAAGGAAAAGGACCCACGAATGTCATCTTTTATCTTTTGTTTTCAATGGGCTAATGTTGGAATTTTTGTTTTTGACATGTATTTGTAAAATCAATATTGCCAAGATAAAAGTTGTTTTGATTTTTCACTGTTATTACCTCTTGTTCCTACTATCTTGACTACTGACGTTCCTCAGTGATTCTAATGTCGATTTTATGGGAAGCAGCCTTCCCATGGGTTTCCTTTTACACACTGGCAGGGCTATCTTTATACTTAAAAAAAATAGTAAGATAACTGTCACTAACCTCATGGGGGATTTGCGGAAAATCATTTAGACCACCTTGATTGAAGGGTAGAGTCCTCATTGTTTTTTTAAGCTTGTGATAAATGATACCTAATTCAGCATTATTGTGCTACCTCAAGGGTAAAAATGTTTTAAGGTTAGTTTGGTCCTGAGTTCTACATAACAGTGTTTGAAATGTCTTTCAGTTGGAGTTATTTTTTAAATCATTGGGGTGAATCTTATTTTAACCTATTTTACAGTTGTATTTTAATCTCAGAAGAATGATTAGAAAGCAATCAATTTTTGTTTTGTGGTATTGAACATATTTATAATTAAAAGTCATTAAGAATTAAATCATTATTTGCCATAAACAAAGTTGGGATTTTTTTAAAAAGGAAACTAGGGCTTGGCTTCACTCTTGGTTAATAAACACTGACAAAAAAAATTCCAGGGAACACAGAAAAGACAACTTGCCAAATACTCACATACCTGTCGCAGCTCAGTGTAGCCACGTATTGACCCAAAGGATCCCAGGTTACTCCTTGTACATAGCTTTTATGTTCATTAAAAATTGAAATCTTTTGTCCTACAAAAAAATTTAAAAAGCACACAACAGCATTACCAGAACTGACATGGGCACAAATTACATAACTGGCCAAAAAATGATCGCCTTTATTCCATTCCATCGCGTGGCAAGAAGTAACGAGAGAGCCTGTGTCCCACTCCTTGTCCCACAGACGACTCCTCCCAGCCCTGGCCTCAGAAAGACCACGGAGTGGGGACACAGCATCTCCAGGTGAGGGCCGCACAGGAGTCCTGACTCCAGTTCTCCCAGTCCCCGGAAGAGGGGACAGGACAGGAGGAGGAGACTCTGGATGCTCGGGACAGCTGAGTTAGCATACAAGGTGCAGTCAAGTCTGGGGCAGGCAGAGGGCCCGAACACCACGGTCAGGAGGAAAAGAGATCAGAGACTGCATGCGGCAGAGGGGGCTGGGGCTGAGGGTGCAGGCCACGCGGAACCCCCACCAGGAAGTGGTCTGTATTCTAAAGATACAGCTGAGGCTTAGAAAAGACGACAAAAAGGGTCACTAATTAGGATATAGACCACCAGTCTAGAGCTGAGGAAGGGCCTCAACAGAAGCGACATTAACAGGAATGGCAGAGCTGGGCATGGTGGGGCACACCTGTAATCACAGCACTTGGGAGGCTGAGGCAGGAGGGTTGAGAGTTCAGGCCAGCCTGGACTACACAGAGACCCTGTCTCAAAAAACAAAAATAAGGGCCGAGGATTTAGCTCAGTGGTTCCACTGCTTGCCTCGCAAGCACAAGGACCGGAGTTCGATCCCTGGTACCAAAAAATAAATAAATAAAATAGGGGGCCGGGGATTTAGCTCAGTGGTTCTGGCGCCTGCCTCGAAAGCGCAAGGACCTGAGTTCAATCCCTGGTACAAAAATAAATAAATAAAATAAAACAGGGATGGCAGTGTTTGGGGAAGGTATTCAGAGGAAAACGCCAGCAGCACAGAGATACCTGCATAAGAAAAGGGAATTATGGGCCAGGGATTTAGCTCAGTGGTTTCACCGCCTGCTGCGCAAGCACTAGGACCCAAGTTTGATCCCCCGTACCAAAAACAAAAAGAAAGAAAAGGGAGTTATGAAGCTTTCACCACCTTTTCTGTGATTCACATCTCTTATGTGTTCGTTTCCTATATCTGAAGTACCATTCGATGGCACCCTCAAGCTGAGATTCCCTGCCATGATCCTCAGCCACTATGCAATGGCACCAAGCACTTGATGGGTTTCCTCTGTCAACTCTGTGACAGTGGCCCAGTGGTTCCCTGAGTCCCTACCTGTCGTCAGTCTGAACTGGGCTGACCCAGTGTCCAGCACAAAGATCCCGCCCACCAGACACAACCAGGCTCGTCACAGTTACGTGCGAGTCCACAGACGTGGGCCCGGAGTGAAACTCATCTACCAAGCCCTGATTCTTCTGCAACAAACAGCCCTGAATCCCATCATCGAACTGGATGCTTGTTCCGCTCACCACAGAAGGACACGAGGCACTCTGTCTGTCCTCCAGTAACGCCACACTACTGCCCAGGTCCCACACCTGCAGGTGTGTGTGGGGGTCTCACACTGCTTGGAAAGGACGAGGGGCGTGCGACTTAAGTCACTGTTCCAAGGCCTTAGCCACATTCCTTCCCCCCTTCACTGACTCTCTGCATCTGCTGTCACTGCCTGTCGCCTGCTGGCCTCCAGGCTCTTCATTTTGCCTCTCTGTGGAGCCCTGATTAGAAAGATGACAAAGGAGAGGTGGAAGGCAGATGGCTTAGCTGCCCGGCCTGGAACTCAGAAGGTCGAGACTGAGTAGGCGAGCTGGAGGATGGGGCGCTAGGGCTGCCTTGGCATCCTGACACCTGCTGGGCCCTTGGGTTGGGACAAGGAGCAGCACAAGAAGAGGTCTTAGAGCAAAGGTCATCGGGGCCAGATACTGAGGACCTGGGAGCACTGGCTGTGACATTCACCACCACAATCTCCCACACGTTTCCTCTCCCCGCAGCTGGACAGCAGGGTCCTCAGAGGCGCAGATGCTACTGGCTTTGCTCCTCTCCCAAAGTGGACACCAGACCCCACCGACTGCATCAGTGAATATGATGCCGTTTTCATTACAAACAGCTGCGAGTCCACTTGCAACCCTGAGCTCTGTGCAGGGACCAGGCCTGCCCTGTCCTGTCCTGACCCCAACCAGGAGACTCACGATGCCACCGTGCTGACTGAAGCCATCAAAATGCAACTGGACCCATGGCATTCGGGAAAAATCTCCTGCTCACCAACCACTATTTTAGTTCACTGAAGAAATTTTTGCATGTTACACTTTTTGGATGTGTGTGTGGTACTGAGATTGAACACAGGAACTTCAAACTGAGCTACAGCCTCAGCCCTTTTTTACTTCTGAGATAAGGTCTTGCTAAGTTGCCCAGGCTGGCCTTGAAAGTGGGACCTCCCCACCTCAGCCTTCCAGAGTGTTGGGATTACAGGTGTGCACCACAACCCGTCATGTTGTTTTTAAAGCAAAAGCCAGTTAGGCTTTGTAAAAGATACTTACAATATTCCTTCCCCCACAGGAACAAAAACTGACCACTTACCTTTACTAACATCCCATATGATGGCTGTGTTATCCACAGAGGCAGATGCCATTAAATTCCCATCAGTTGCCCAGCAAATGTCATACACATCTTCTAAGTGGCCCCTGAAGCCAAGAGGAAAATAAGCCATTACTTCTCAAAAAAAGGTAAGTCATTAAAGTTTAAAGGCAAAATCAAGAACCACGCATTAGAATGAGATTCTAGAAATTTCCTTTGGAATTGTATGAGCCCTGGCTATTAACAATGCCTTTCAAGGGTACCCATAGCTTTAAAACAGGTTCACTTTTACTAAGGACGATTTTATAGCAGAAACTAAAAGAGTCTATTTCCACGATGCTTTTATCCTTTACTTTCTTATGAATATCTGACATAGGTAAAAGTTTTAAGTTAAATATAAAGGTCAAAAGACATATTCTGAGCCAGGTGTGGTGGCGCACGCCTGTGATCCCAGCACCTGGGAGGCTGAGGCAGGGGGATCGCCATGAGGTCGAGGCCAGCCTGGGCTACCCAGTGAGACCTTGTCTCAAAAAACAAAGGAGGGGGAGACATGCAGGATTCTGTTTAACCCACCCAGGTTGTAAAGATCAACCCTGGGGTCCCTCCCCAAGTTACCTCAGGGTTTTCACCACAGTCCAGTTCTCCTTATTCAGCTGCGCCTCCTCCTCATCCTGGAACGCAATCTGCTCTGGCTCCTTGTTGTCATTCACCTTCCACAGCAGGATGACGGCATCTGAGAGAGCAACCACAGTGAGCCACATTCCGGCATGCTGCTCTCCGGGTATGGTGGCCTTGGGGGCTGCTTCCACGGTCTGGAAGGAAAAGCAGCTCTGCCTTCTGAACTGGGCTCCAGAAACAGCGAAGTTCACACAGGCCGGAGCCTCTACGACCACCTTAAGCAGGGGTCTCTGGGCCACCAAAGTGCCACTGTGGAGCGACTAACTGCATCCCCAAGTGTAAGGCAAGGCTTAGCAAGCAATTCTGACCCATGAAACCGCCAGCAAGTCACTGCACATCCTGAGGCCTCGGTGTCCTCTGGAAAATGGGGACAACAGCCAGGCGTGGTGGCAGACCCCTGCAATCCCAGCTCCTCGAGACACGGCAGGAGGATCACCTCGAGTATGAGGCCAGCCTGAACTACAGTGAGACCTTATCTCAAGAAAACAAAAGAGCATACGCTGCTTAATTCTCATTACTTGACACACTCGGGTATCTGGTTTCTGAAGTACAGTGATACTCACCGTCTCCTCCTGATGCTAAAATTTCCCCAGTTGGAGAAAAACGCACAACATTGACAGCTTTGGTGTGACGAGCAAGATTGGACAAAAATTCCACAATGGCTTTTCCATCTGGTCCTTTTTCTACCTTCCAGATCTGTCAATATCAAAACATCCACTTGAAAAATACATAGTGAATACCTACTATCTGGCTCATACCGAAACATTTCTACGCTTGTTTTCAGTAAGAAGATTTCATTTTCCTTTTGAAACATAAAATGAAGGAAGCTTGCCTATTCAAAATGTAAATGAGAGGCGCGGGCACTGGAGCACACACGTAATCCCAGCACTCCAGAGGCTGAGGCAAAAGGATCACTCCAAGCTGAAGGCCAGCCTGAGCAACATACCTTAGGGAGGCTCTATCTCAATAAAGCAAACAACAAAAGGAAGGAAGGGACAAGAAAAAAAAAGGAAAAATGGAAAAAATGGAATCAAAGCTTTTTATATAGGGAGGGGAGGGGGCTTGCAGAGAGGAGGGAAGGGGAAAAAAAGAGGTAGGAGCTATTGTGTACAGGTGCAAGTTCCCTGTGATGTGTGTCATCATTATGTATATCTACAACATTCCAATGAAGGTTATGCTTAAAAAATAATAACAATAATAAAAATAACAGTAAGATAACAGACATCCAGTTGCAACAATGTAGGGAACATTAGTGCAGTAAGAAAGCAACCCTCTTTTGCTTTCATTGTTCACATACGCCCTGACAATTTAGCATTCTAGACCAGATAACAAAGAACTTTGAATTTGATGAGACTAGTGGTTTTTTTTGGTGACATTAGTTTTAAATAAAGGAATGAAGCTGGACACGGTGGCGCATGCCTGTAATCCCAGCACTCAGATCACCTGAGTTCAAGGCCAACTTGGAATACATTTCGAGATCTTGTCTCAAAAATGGTAAGTCAAAACTCTGGCTCCAGGCAAGGCTTCCCTGTGTCCTCCCATCTCTGCCTGACTTACCCTGACGGCGGTGTCCACCCCAGCAGAGGCCAATCTGTGGACCTTCCCGGCCATGCTGTACTGGAAGTCCAGGCTGTACACAGGCTCCTTGTTGTGCCAGGCTATTTCGCACGTGATGACTTTCATCCTCCTGAGCTTGGGTGGGACAAAAAATTCCTCAGGCTGCTTACTCTCTGCAAAGACAGAAGAAGGCTGAAAGAATGCCAGTACTGAATAAAACAGCAATATTACAGCATCAAACTGAGTGCATGCTTGCTAGGAGCCAGGAACCCTGCTAACCGCGTAAAATGTTCCCTGTGCTGGGAGAGGATGTTAACGTCTATCTGAAACGAACACCTTCAAGCCTCATCTAAAATGCTTCCTTGAGCCCTGGCTTGCACAACTTTAGGATTGGCCTGGTACATCCGGAGAAGCAGAAAGACAGAAGCCCAGGGTCCTGGGTTGGGAAGCACCGCCCACCGGAACGGGCTCCGGGAGGAGTGGGAAGGGGCAGGGAGATCCTCGGGGGAGGGGGCTTCCTAGAGGAGGGGACCACAGGGGAAGGGGGTCACGGAGAGGATTCCTGGAGGGGGTTGCTTCCTGGAAGAGGGGGTCACGAGGGAGGGGACCGTCCCAAGAAGGGGCCTCCCGGAAGAGGGCGTCTCGCGTTGACGAGGGGGCGAGACTGCGGGCCAGGTCGGACCCCTGCTCGGGAACCCGGCTGTGCGCAGGGAGCCTGGGCGGGGCCTGCAGCAGGAAGCCGCGCGGGGACCGGGCCTGGCAGGACCTTAAGCTCGCGCGAGCGCCGCTCCAGGGCCACCCCGGCCCCAGCAGCCGGCCCTCGGCGAGCAGCCCTCTCCTAGCCCCGCCTGGCCCGGCGGCGAGTCCCGCGGGGAGAGGGTGGTCAGTCCCGGGAAGCAGTACCTGCACAGACACCGCCGCTCCACTGAGCCGCCACCTCCCGCCGCAGAGCGAGTCGATTCCCGCGCGCCGCGGGCCCCGCCCCCGCACGGGTGGGACTTAGGGAACACCACGCCCCCCTATGGGTGGAGCTCACGGGACGCCCGGTCCTCTGATGGGCGGGACTTCGCTATGGCTTATTGTGGGCAGGGCTCTAGGAGGTCCCGGCCCTCCCGGGCGCTGGGGACGGGGCCAGCCCTACCGAGGGACTGGCATCAGGGCGGTTTCCTCCTGGCTCATCGATTTCTACAGACCCACACACTGGTGGGAAAATGGATGAGTTCATCGGATCCAGTTCTGTCCCTATTTCCTTGGTTCATTCTTTTAGCATTCATCTACTGAGCATCTGCTAGGTGTTAGACCCTGTGGTGGCGCTGGAGAACCAGTGGTAAGTGAAGTTAAGTCAGTCTGACCTTGGGGAATTTCATCTCCCTAAAGTCTTCTTATAGAGACAAGTGGGGAAACATCGGAGATCCCCAAAATGGCCAGAATGTTCACGGGTGCAGCGACTGGTTAAAAGCACTCGCCGCTCAAGGGCGCAGCCTGGTCTCCGGAGTTTCAAATGTCAGTGAAACAGGCTCCCTTGCCAGGCATCCTCAGCGAGATACGCAAAGGACCACAATAAAAAGATCCCGTGGGAGGGAGGGGAAAGGAACAGGGCGCCTGAGTCCTGGGGATGAGGTCTTTGGGATGTGAAGGCTCACTTAAGTTTGAAAGCAAAATGGCTTCAGGTGATTCTGTTTTGGAAGAGCAGTACTGAGCCCCGACTTTGCAAAGTGTAGTTTAGCTGAGGACCGGCCACAGGTGGGCACAGGGGCGCACGAAGGGGAGCACTGGAGCAGGGGATGGGAAAGGACAGGATGGGGGAGTGACCCTGAAGCCTGTGAGCCAGAATCATACTTAGTGTTTCCATGGCAACTTCAAGTCTCATTCTAAATGAACTGGAACCCTGATGACAGGTGTCAGTCCTGGAGCTTGGTTGAAACAAGACAGGCCCTGGACACGTAAATGCTCACCATGTGCGTGCCCAAGTTTCGAGGGTGGAAATGTAACGTTTTTGAGACAGGTCCACTATGTGGCCCCGGCCTTGAACTCTTAATCCTGCTTCAGCCTCCTGAGTGCTGGGATTACAGGTGTTCGCCACACCCCGCTGACCCCTCTGTTTCTGTCCCTGAGAACAGGTCCAGCTGTGCCTGTGGCTTCTGGTGTTCAGAGCGAATGTCACAGCAGTCTATGAATGCCACATTCCAAGGATGTCACAGCAGGTTTCTGCTCTGTAGCCACTGACCTCTCTCCTGGAAATGACCTGCCTAGTCAGGCAGCACCTTGGCAACCGGCAACAGCGCCCATGAACACATTCTGATACTTTACCTCAAGGAAGCAAGGTCACAAAGGGAAATGTTACCTATATAGCAAAAAAAATTATAAATCCCAGTTATTTTAGCCCTGGCTCACATGGCAGTAGAAAGCAGAGGCCATAGCTTTCACAGGAACCTCATGGGGGATTAGGGTGAATCCAAGTACTTTCTGAATATAAAACAGCATTCTACTTTATGAAGTCAAGTTCTGGATATTTACAAAGTTATCTATTCCTAGACAGGAGGTAGACTGCGATGAAAGCTTTTTCCCCCTAGTACTGGGATTTGAACTCAGAGCCTTCTCACTAAGCTACACCTTCAGGCCTTTGAGACAGAGTTGGCTAAATTGCCCAGGTTGGCCTTTAACTTGTAATCCTCCTGTCTCAGCTTCCCAGAGTGCTAGGATTATAGGTGTGTGCCACCATACCCAGCTGGGATGAAAGTTTTTCTAAATCACACTGAAACTTACTATATTTCTTATTACCATGCCACCAAGTCCTATTTTGCAAGAAATCCTTCTGTGGTTCTACAAGTCTGCTGACTTACAGAGCAAAACGATGACCCTGGGGGCTGTATTACTGCCCCGCGGCAGCTGAAAAGGTGCACCTGCTCACAGCACTCTGATGAGAAAGTGTGAGGGAGACGAAGCTGTAATTCCCACTCTGGGTCTGTGATGATGAATTCATTCTCCCAAGCCCACTCAAATAGCTTCACTTGTATTTAACTGGTGACCCTTGTCTCTTTTGGTCTGGACTTTCTTCCTACAGGCCACTGTAGGAAAATTAACTTGTCACTGAGAAACTTAATTCTGAAAGGTATAAATGTATTTATTTTTTCTTTTATACCAACCAGGCATTGATGACATTCTTTCTGTGAGCTGTAGCCCAATATCCAAAAGACAAACAGAAGGACACAAGCCCATTTATGAGCTAGTACACAAGGTCACTCAACCCGCTGTGAGGTTTCTTTCTCAAATGGAATTTGCTGGGTGGTGGTCAGGGCTGTACCAATGCAAACTTTGAAATTCTTTACAGTGGCAAGACAACCCGAAAGAAATGAGTGCGGAAAGAACACAATATAGAACACATAAAACACTGAAATTACATCAATAAAACATGAAAATACGTCCAACTTGAGACAAATGCAAAGTGTCATTTTTATAGCTAAATAGTACATATACCTTCAAAGTCAACATTGTCCTGTCAGGTTTCTTATTAGCCATATTTTCAGTCTGTTTTAATATTTTAATGAGTGAAAAGTATGTAAGTAGTTCTAAAGACCCAACTTAGCAACCAAGTTTATCTTCTGAATCTTATGGTTAATTTTCCCATTAAGCCAGAGAACAGTCATATAAAGTACATTTTTGCCAGAATACAGAAGCTGACCAAGAGGAAGGGGGAAATGTCAAGTTCCAAAAAGAACCACTATTTCAACTTAATCACAAACCTTCTGTGACTACACAGGTGCTCAATGTAGGTAAAGTTTCTCCAGATGAAATAATTTATACAAAGCAAAGAACACACATATTCTCTCCCTCAGTATTAAGGAAACAGTCTTAGTCTTCAAAATATAACCTGTGATAATGCAGTAAAAGCAGCTCAACTTGAGGGTTTCACAGAATACTTTGAAGTTAATATTGAATTCTTTTTTTTTTGTGGTACCAGGGATCGAACTTATGACCTTGCATTTTCCAGGCAGGTGCTGTGCCACTGAGCTAAATCCCTGGCCCTAATATTGAATTCTTTAAAAATATCTGAAGAGTTAACCATCATGTATTTTTATTACAAGGTATTTTAAAATTTGGGCAGTTATAATTGTGTCAGAAACCCAGTTTCATACCAAAAATACACTTTCACTTACTATCAAAGCAAATAAAAACCATCTCCATTTATTTGCTCCTTCCAGAAGCTAAAAATATAATAAAAATTCAATATTATGTATGATGTACATGTAATTAAACAAACATATAAAATGAATATGTATTGAATTTTCAGAAACAAAAGTAAAAATAAATAGCAATGATAAACCTTTGGAAAAAATAATGCATATTCTAGTTGTGGAAAATATGATTCTTAATTATATACAGTCATATATTTAATAGAAAGCCATCTCTTTAGGATTGCACAAACATGGAACCAATAAAACCTATTTCCTGGCATGTAACACTATAATCCTCACGGAGTCTGCTCCTCAACTCCAGGATATGAACACTTGGGTTTGTGGTATAATCAAAAGAATGCACTACTGTTTGAGAAAGACTGTCTTCCTCAATTCACATTAATCTGCACTAACCCTACAAAAGACTGTACAAGAAATTTCACACAAAAAAATGAAATAATTACAGTGCCTACTCCATGCTGAATAAACAGCCAAAAGTAGGCTTCAAAGTAAGCTTGGTGATCATTTAACAATTTCAATGCTTTATACTAAAGATCATTTCTTTGTTCTATAAAAACACTTTGTGTTTAAGCTCGTTGGCAATCTCAGCACAAGAATAATCCTGGCAAAATGGAGTCTGCTTTAGCTTACCATATTTTAAATATTTCAGGAGACAGGAACTTATAGAAAAGAAACTATAATGCTCAACTCCCTTAGAAGCACATACTTATCAGAGGTGTTATTTAAAAATCCTATTTAAATTCCTTTTTAAGAAAATCAAAGGTAGTAAAGTTTTTGTTTGTATTATGGAACAGCCATTAGCTCAGTGAAAAATACTTTTTTTGAGCACCAGAAAAAATTGCACCAAATTTAGGAACAACTTGAAAAGCTCCTGGTGAAAAACACTTATGTACTTTAGAGCAATAAAAAAATACGTGTGGGCTTAATCACAAATATTTACATTCAAAACACAATTGTAAGTCAGCCACTGCGCTGCTCAGTACAATTAATAGGTATTTCCGAAGGCATAACAATGTGTCCACAGCATCTGTGACCACGCTTGAATGCATAGAATACAGTAAAGATTAGGACTCCGAAGTCTTCTGTCCACCTTACTTATAAAACAAAACTTTGTATCTGGAAAGCTATACACGCAAAAGAAGTGGCTATATTTTTACTATTTCGCATGAAACCTACTTTATGTGCTACTGATTTCACTCATTTGTTCCACCACCTGTCCTAAGATCTCATCAACCACATCAACATCGTAATTCACTTGCTGAAGATCGAGGTCAGGCACGATCATAGTCAACAACTGTCCCACGTTAACGCGAAGAGACCGAAGCTTGAGGCTGCAAATACAAACAGAAAAGTGACCCGAGGAGCATTATAATACAAGTTACTATTCATGTGGAAGTTAAAAACTGACAGTGAAAATATTAAAATTAAATCTCCAGCCATGCTGGGACTTAGATATCTTGATTCTGTTAATAACAAGTTATTTGAAACTCGCAAAGACATTTAATATTTCCTGGACCTAAGTTTGTTTTTCGGTTTTTTTGTGTGTGTGTGGTACTGCGGATCAAACTCAGGACCTTGTGCTTACCAGGCAGGCGACGTGCCACTGAGATCCCCAGCCCTAAAATTAAATCTCTGTAGAATGACAGTTGAACAAAAAGAAAAGTAAAACTCCCCCCAGAGAACTGGATCATGAATTTAATAATTCATTCCATCCATTAGATACTAGCCTAAGTTGAAACAGTCTGTTTTATAAATCTAGTGGTGTGGTCTGGTTCCTACAAACTCTATTAATTTGCCAACTGGAGAAAATATGTAAACTAGAGGATATGATTTACGATTTAGTCTTGTTATCACCTGGAAAATAGCCACATGCTGGTGAAAACAATGGTCTAAGAATGTAGAATGCATCTCTTTGAATTCCACCTTCCCTTTGAGGAAAATAGAAACTGTTCCCCTAAAATATGTGTAAGAGAAAAAATAGTTCTATGGTCAAATAAACTTGTGAAATGCTGTGTAAAATAATGTTACACAAGCTTTTTAAATTATAGGACTTCTCTGAACCTATTATATGGTCCAGTTCACTGACCATCCATGTCAACACGCATTCACCAAGAACTGTGTTTTGCTGAAACACTGGGAAACCCTGGCTGAAGATTAGCATTCCTTCCAAGTTCATGAATGTCAGCATTCTAGACTTAAAAACAAATTCCAGAGCTGGCAACGTAGCTTAGTGGTGCAGCGCTTACCTAACATGTTTGAGGTCCTGGATTTGACTCCCAAGACTGCTTCAAAAAGAAAAAAAAAGTATTCAAGCCATAAATACCTAAAACTAAGGCAGCCTTTGCTTTTCAGAGACTATGACAGACACCAGAAAATGCCGGAATTGCTCTCATTCTCCCCATACCCCACAAGCCCGTATTTAATTTAGATACTGATTTTTCTAGGATGGAAATCTCTGAAGCTGTTATGATGAGCATCCGTAGGTTGACAGTGCAGGAAAATGTCATTTTGAGTATGTTGGTTTTATGTGCCTTTATGATAAGACCCCACTGGACTACCAATAAAATTGCACATCAACCCAGGTCAGCCATTTTTTCTTCATACTTTCCACTCATGGCCAATCAACGGTCCATAGTTGAAATTCCTTTTAATTTGTTTTCCAGAACTTATTAACCACCCTATGCTATGTCCTCCTGAGAATATCCCCTCTACTACAAACAAGATCTTTATCCTAAGAGAAAACCAGACAAATGACTAGTACCTCTTATCCACTCTTTCCCGTAAGTCTTTGATTGTCCCTGCTACTTCTTGCTATTTATTGAACATGTCAGATTCCTATTTTCAGTGTCAAGACTGCCGAAGATCCTAGCCCTAAATTTAATGTTATATATTCCAGCAGCCACAATAAAAAGTGAAAGAAAGATGAATCTGACTTTAGTGGTATATTTTACTTAAACCAGTGAGGCCAAAGTATTGTTTTGTAATATAATCATAGTGGCCAACACCTGTACTCCCAGCACTTGGGAGGCTGAAGCAGGAGGATCACCTACAGTTCAAGGCCAGTGTGGGCTACCTAGTGAATTCAAGGCCAGCCTGAAGGGCAAGACCTCATCTCAAAAGAACAAAACTTCTTAAATAATGTATTGCACATCTTTTTTTCTCTTTCACATGAGAACTTCAGAAGTCAGCTTGTATTTCATATGTGAAGCAAACCTCAATTCAGACTAGCCACACTTCAGGCATCAGTACCACATGTGGCTAGCAGCTGCTGTACACAGACCATAAGACTACCAGTTACTCCAATTTCAGTGTGCAAGAGAATCATCTGGAGACTTGCTTAAGTTTCTTTTTTGGGGCCAAGGATGTAGCTCAGTGGCATCGCACTGGCCTTGCAAGCCCAAGATCCCAAGTTTGATCCTTAGTACTAAAAAAAAAAAAAAATTTTTTTTTCCAGTACTGAAGATCAAACTCAGGACCTTGCACTTGCGAGGTGAGTACAGTGCCACTGAGCTATATCCCTGGCCCTAAAACAGTTTCTGAAGTAAGTGGCAGGAAGATCTTCCTCTGTAAGTCATATAGGTGCTTTGAGAACCTGGTCCTCATTTTTAGAAATACTGGTCAAGAGGTTTTTTTGAGCCTTTGGCCTCCATGTTTACAGAGTGTCTTTAGGCAGTTGATAAAAAAACAACTGAATGCTGCTGCCAAGCACCATCCAACGGAAAGGCAGCCTGGTCAACTATCACAGTGTGCACTCATCCACCTTGTTCATGGGATCTGGCCCGGTGTGACTCCAGCTCTTCCCCAAAGTCAAAACAACCATGAAAGGAAATGGTTTTGAATTGACTCAGGACAGCAAGGCACCCACGATAGCTCATAAAAAAGGGACCTCCAGAACAGCTTCAGAAAGTGGCAAGAATGATGGGTTAAGTGTGTTCCAAGTGGGAGGGAAGATTTTGAGGGGGATTAGTGGCAATGTGTCTTTACTATAATAAATTTTATTAAGCACACACCATATTTTCCTGTCACCTCTCATGTATTCACTGCTCTCTTCCATTTCCATGAAAAGATTTCATGAAATCCACTGAAAAGCTAAGGGACTAAGTAATCATTAAGGGCAAGGGAGGCTGGAGATAGGACTGTTCTTCAATGACAGGCTGTGACTTCTCCAACACTGCCACCCCTCAACTCTTGCCCCTCACTATCCAAAGCAAAGCTAAACACAAGGCCAAGCCCAGTATAGAGCTTACCGAGAGGGTCATCATTCATTTGCTCTTTTCTTGTTTTAATGGGACTTCATAATATTACCTATACTGAGGAAATTTATTTTTCTGGAGTACTAGGGATTAAACTCAGGACCTCTGCACTGAGCTATGTCTCCAGATTTTTAAAATTTTTTTGAGACAGGTCTCATTATGTCACTAAGTTGCCCAGGCTGGGCTCAAACTTGCAGTCCTCCTGTCTCAGCCTCCTAGACTGCTGGTGTACACCACCACACCTGAGGGCCATTTTTAGTAATTTTGTAATTTCCCAAAAGATTAGGACACACATACAGTGAAATAAGGATACAGATTTGTAAATATGCCAAGGAGAAGGCAAATGAGGTTGAAGGAGTAAGTTTCTATTTCTTTCCTTCTTTCTTCCTTCCCTCCCTTCCTCCCTCTCTCTCTGCCTTTCTCTAGTTCTGTCTCTGTCTCTCTCTCTTTCTGAGATGGGGGGATCTCGCTTTGTAGTTCAGGCTGGCCTCAAACTCATGGTGACTCTCCTGTCTCAACCTCCTGAATGCTAGAATTTACAAGCATACACCACCGTGCCCAGCCAAAACCACGTTTTAGTTAAGAGCCTCCTGTCTTCTAGTCATGCCCCAATTCACCCCATTCAAGACGTAGCTCAGTTTTCACTTTTCCCCCCAAAACATCCCATATAAGTCTTTATCCCTTCTAAATTCTTTCACTTAATTTAAGACCTGAACTGTTAGCAATGTGACACCATAATCATACATTACTTCTTTTGAATCACTCTCTGAAATGCTGAGATCACAGGGAGTTTGATAGAATAAATATGGGCCGTTGATAGCTGACGTGCTAACAGATATAATGCATGTGCCACCCAGAACTGCAGCCCAGAAAGTGCGTCACTATTACCTTTCCCCATCCAAGTAATTGACAGACTCCATGTTACTTGAAGTCGAAACATCTGCTCCTAACTGTTGCCTTGTAGATTTTAGCTGTTCGATTTCTGTTTTGAGTTGTTCGCACTGGGAACGCATATGTGATTTCTCTATTTCTGATAATGCAACCTGACAAAAAACAAAAATGGCTTTTGATTGTTAAATTTCAAAATATTGTCAAAGTACAAACTTAAGCTAAAAAATAAGCTAAGAAATACAGAAAAAAAATGACCATCAAAAAGCACTAATACACACATATCCCAATAGCTTTTTATAAGTGTCATTCGTTTAACATCACTTCTTTTTACAGTGACAGAAAATGTTAACTGCCACCTGACCAAAACTAAGTGGTACCCAGAAACTGAACCACCAAGCCACTAATGCCCAAATTACGCTGGGATAACAATAGCTTTCATTTCTTTTCTTTTCTTTTCTTTCAAGACAGGGTCTCTTCATGTAGTTCAGCCTGGCCTTGAACTCACCATGAAGCCCGGTCTGGCCTTGAACTTCACGGTGATCCTCCTGGCTCAGCCTCCTGAGTTCTGGGATTACAGGCATGCACCACCATGCCCGGCTGGCTTTCATTTCTTACACATTTGACATTAACTTATAACAGTGAGTACATATTGAATTATGTATAATTTGTCATGTAGTTCCTGAACTAACACACCGTGAAGAGTGTTTTAATGCACAGTTGTGTTAACAATATTTCCAGGCTGGGGCAGTACAGCAGCATGCCATATGGTTTCCAAACTCTCCTAGCAAGGAAAGTCTCTCAAACACCACATAAAAAATAACATACATATCTATAGTACATAAAAAAGGAGCTTCCTGATTTGAAGTGGCCACATGCACAGGTTACTCAACATCTGAATGCTACCTTCTCCTCCTGCCCCCTTGAAAGACCCCTGAACAGCACCTGCACTGCCCTGCAGGCAGCTGCAAGCCAGGCGCCTCAGTTCTGACAGAGGAAGCAGGAGCAGCTCTAATGAGGAGCCTCCCCCTTTTCCTTCTTGCAGCTTGGAACGTGGCTATGATGCTCAGGCCTGAGAGTGCACCCTGAGAAGCAAAGTGACACTGCAGGAGCAGCCTACATCCCTGGGAGCTGTGGAGCTGCCACGGTATTTGAGGTGTGATGGTCCTTCCGCACAAACCTAGTCCTACCCTACAGGGGCTTCATCTCTAAAATGAAGGTCCACCATCCAACTCATGGAGTTACTGAAAGGTGCCCCAATAACGGATGCAAATTTCTGACTATACTGCGTAGCTGTCTAAAAGGGGGCGAATGACACCAGGTATTCTGATCAGGACAATTAATCACTGTACAGCACTATCCTGTGCACACTTCCCACTATGTTCCAGGAATCGCCTAAAGATACAGTAAGAATCAAAAGTGCCCCCCACATCCATCATGCCCCAGGAGACCCATGGCCCAGTTAAGAACTAATGGCTTCATTCAATCGACAGAGTTATTACGAGGTGAAAGTGTTTCAGGCTAGTGCCTGGCAGCTCTGGAAGGTGTAACAGCTTGGAGTCCCGTGACTCACCTCGCTTTTATACTGGTCCCTCTCCACAGCGCACTTGTCCAACTGTCTGAACACATCATCAAGCTGCACAGCCATTTCGTCCACATCCCTTTTACTCTCGAGATTACAACACTGACTGCATTCGACCTTCACATGCTGCACAGCACTACACTGTTTTTTCAGCCTTTCTATTTCTTCCAAAGCCTGCTGATACTGAGAGACTATATGGTCTGGACTTTCAGATTTCCCATTAATACTTTCAAGTAAAAACACAGCATCAGTTTCAGTAGATTGATGGCAAGTTTCCTTCTTGACATATTTGTCATTCATTTTTAGGATCTTCTCTTCTAATACTTTGATTTGGTCCGTAAACACATGACACTGACTCTTATACCTGTTTTTTTCTTGGGTCACTAGGAGGAGTTCATTTCTCAGTACTTGTAACTGAGAGCCACCAGTCTCTGCAGACTTGTCAAAGGTTTGTGTTGTGGTGTCCTGCACCTTTGCATCAGCATCTGCAGAGATGGGCAACCTCACTGAATTGTTCCTTACATCTATCTCATCTTCGACAGTTTCTTCCTTTTTAACAATGAAACTTGGGGCTTCGGTTTGGGTGGCCGCAGCAGTGCCCTGATCACACCTGGACGAGGGAACTGTGGAACTGGTCTGGCCACAAGGCTGAGCGTCGTCCAAAATCTCAACCTGAAGGCCACTTTGTTTAATGTGACTCTGCTCCGATTTGGCTTCAACATCAAGATCTACGGCAGGTTTAGGAGTACTGCTTTCTTCTAAAATGATGACATCTTCATCGTCATCATCATTTTTAAAAGAATTTTCAAACGTTTGATTACTCAATCTCCGATTCTTTGCATTCAAAATTGAGGAACGAGTAGAAAATCTCCGTTTCAGGCTGGAAAAAATTTTATATATAAAATATGAGATTATCAAATATAGATAGGAACAAAATACATGACCTTCAAGTGATCTTTTTAACAAATGCCCTGTTACAACAATTTTACAATTATCTTGAAATCCTAAGAACTGCCTGTGCTCATTTTCAAAAGTGTACACAACTAACAGTCGAGATGAAGTACCAGGTCCATATACTGCCATCCATCTGTCTCTTCTCAGAGGTGCTACAGGCATTTTAAGAAATATACCCAGACAGAGTGACACCCACACCAGACTCCTTTCTTGGGTCCCCTGGGGAATGGCGAGGCCATATTCATTTGTCAACATTCATGATCAGAGGTAAGCCACGAAGCAAACTATTATTCTCTAGCATTTCACATAAAGCGAGCTTCCCTGAACTAAACCTTATCTTGTTTTGTTCATTTATGTGGTGTCCTGTAAATTCATCACCAATGGATTACTCTTCTCCACACCTGGTAGGCTCTCCAGGACCTGCTGGATCTCAAGAAGGATTCTCCTTTCCTAGCTTACTCTCTCATGCTAAGGCACCAGCACCACCTCTATCCTGAGAAAGCATCCTGGGAACCTGACAGATGAAAATGTCTTTATTCGCCTCTCAAGTTTCCTGCTTGTCTAGCTGTTCCATAAACTTGCAGGTTGGAAATCATTTTCTCACAAATATAAAAGAGCCATTCCATTTTCATCTATCACTGAGTGTTTCTCCCCTTCCTGAAAAAAAAAATCTGCTTTTCCTTCATGATCTACAATGTCAAGATGACACACTTTGGAAATAAGTCTTTTTCCAGACTGCACGCTCTACACTTAATGGAAATAAGATTTGTTTCTGGTGTTACTTCCTCCCCTCCAGACCCTTCTGATTTCCTACACTGAAACTCCCTTATATTCAGACGCTGGCCTCCTGTACTCTTTTCTCTACCTCCTACTTATCCTTTAAGAGATTTGTTTACTCAACATTTACCCTACTTCCCCCCAAAGAATTTCACACTTTTTCTTCTCCTTTTGTCCCATGTGAAGATCACATACTTGGCAGTCCTTGGCTCCCTGCGAAACTGACCGGAAGCATTGGTGGCAAGGGTTACCGTCCCAAAGGGCTCAACTGTCATTGCGGACAGCTTCTCTCTGGAAACAGGTGGGAGTGGAGAAGGAAGAAAGAAGGGCTGATTGCTCACCACTGAGTATTCAATCTTCCTGTTGAGATAGCTCACAGGTTTGGTCAGCTGTAAAAACTGCTTCAGAAAGTAAATTGTCTTACCTGTGTGTTTCTTTTTTAGAGGACAGAATCTTTTTTTCTATGTCTTGTACTCTGAATAGTACTTTGAAGATAATGATACACAGTGTTTTAATTGTTATTCCCTTATTTTGATATGAAACTTACTTTTTATTTTTATAAAATAAAAAAATGTTAAAAAAAATAAAGTAGATTTCTATCTTCTGACAGAGAAAGAGAAGCAGCAGCTGCCAAACTTTTCAGGATGGGAAGGGGTCTAAAAGCCTACGCCACCTTAACTTCCAAGCAAGCCTCTTACTTCTGCCCCTACCTTCCACTGCGGTGGTACCCAGTGCTCCTAAATTCTGACTCTCGAAACCAGTTTGCTTTTCATATTTACCCTCTCCAGCAGGCCGGGGTACGGCTTTCTCAGGTCTGCTGTATCAAGGAGGCCTTGTTCTACTCTGCCCTGGTTAACTGGAGGTTACTTTCCTATTTTTCCTACCAAGTTAATTCCTATCTACCTTTCCTATGATTCAGTTTAGGTACTGCCTTTTCACAGAACACTGGCTTTATAAACTGGAGAATTAAATACAGACTTTAAATATTCTCTTCCTCCATTTTGATGGCAGCCAAGTTCTAAGATAAATTCTTATCTTGTGTCTGTAAGCTCAGAATCATCTTTATGGAAAAAACCCAAGAATACTAAGGAGACCAATACAAAATAAAACCACACAAATTATTAAGTGGCAATCCAGCTCCAAAACCAGTTCCTAAAGCACAGGTTATGAAGAACAAACATTACAATATGCCCTCCTTGAGCTCAATTTGCAGCAAGGCAGTTAGTCATTCCTAGCCTGCCTTGAGGTCAAGAATCCCTTTTTGAGAATTTGAAGAAGGCTACAATGCCTCTCAGCAAGTCTGGCCCCACCATCTGAGAGGCTTTTTTGGATAGTTTCATGTGGAGCAAGCGGGTTCTACGAGGCCCCAGACACCACACCCGCTCTTCATGCTCTGGCCTGGGCACTGCGTTCCCATGGCAGGGACCAAGCTAAAGCCCACTTCAGCACAGGAACCCCCTGACCATCCAGGCCAAGAGGGTGGACTACACAACTCATGCATCACTTGTGTATTTCCTTCTCCAACCAAACAGAGCAGGGGCCCGCAGTATGCCACGGGTTATGCTGAGAACTTCTGGGTCACACTTGGCATTATTATTGTACTGTTAAATGCTTCGTCTTCTTCTTTATTTAGGTACTAGTCATTTTAAAAGCAGTAATTTTATACTATAAAGAAGTTCAGGGCCGGGGATTTAGTTCAGTGGTTTCATTGCAGGCTACACAAGCGCAAGGACCCGAGTTTGATGCCCGGTACTAAAAAAAAAAAAAAAAAAAGAAGCTCAAAGAGGTGACAGGTTGGTCAAACCCCATAATGAATACAGTTAAATTTTTTTCTCCTTGCTCTTTCTTTTTTTAGAGTCCAGGGTGGGCTTGAATTCCTGGACTCAGGTGACCCTCCTGGAGCAGCCGTCTGAGTGGCTGATATTAAAAGTATTAGTGCACACCACGATGCCTAGCAACAATTAACATTTTTAACCTAAGTTAAGTACATAGCAGGCCCAAAGTGGGGTAAGTTTAGACAATAGAGTAAAGTAATCTTTTTACATTCATGTAAACTGTGATTTCCTAGAGCTGCACTATTGTCCTGGAAGTGTCACATAAGGGCGCAAATGGAAAAGCACTAACCTGCTGTTCTCAGGGTCAGACTGGGGTGAAACACGATGATTATTTAGAAATCTTGTTGGGTAAGAATTTGCTACTTCTGGAAGATGTGCTCTTGGAACACTTTCCTTTGCAGGAGAAAAGCTCTGACCTGGCATAGAAGTTGTCCTATGTAACAGCTCGGCATTGATCTGTTGGAGGAGAAAAGCGGATCTTTTTTTTTTGGTACCGGAGATTGAACTCTGGTCCTTGTGCTTGCGAGGCAGGTGGCGGAACCACTGAGCTAAATCCCCGGCCCGACAAAAGCAGATCTTAAAGGAGTTATTTTAATGTGATGTGCCCCAAACTCAAGATATGATCTCCCTTCCCCTTATCCCAGAAGAAACCCAGAAATACCCTGAATATGTAAATTCCTTGTGCTAACCAGGAGCCAAATCTGGCAGGCAAGTGTGCTCAGGATGGCCTTACATTTTAAAGAATGCAAAAAAAATACCCCACAGGGACTTCATGTGGCCCACAAAGCCAAAGCTTTCCTATGTGCCCTGTGGTGACCCCATACCACAGGACCAAACAAGACAGAATGAAAACATCCTGTTCTTTTTTTGAAAACATACTAAGAGAAAGAAACTAAAGACAGTAAGCCCACTACTCTCTTCCTCCCCCAACTTGATCTGGCCTCACCTCAAACCCTCACTCCAATGTAATTACACACACACACGTACATCCTACAGCAGACTGTAACTTTTCACATAAGAAATGCATTACTTCCTTATATTCATAGACTGGCTAAAGTTCCTTGACGCCACTAAGCACTGAGCGAATTGTAAGGCCAAGCCGAGTATCCGACAAAAGGAGAAAAAGACCCTGGCTCTTGCTAGGTCAGCACCAGTGACTCCTTAGGTGTTCCTGTGACACTTCCGTAACTGCCCGTGTAACAAGAGGCTTAAAGGACTATTTGCTTGCCCTTAGTCCGACAATGCCCACCTGAACAGTGCAACTGAACAGACTGAATGAGGCTGTTGGGTTAGAAGTGAGAGCTGGAAAAGAGGGCAAGGAGGGGTACCAAAAGAAGAAAATGTAAACTGAATTAACGAGATCCTTTCCATCTGTTATAATGAATTTCAATATGGGGCTGGGGATTTAGCTCAGTGGTTCCAGCGCCTGCATCACAAGTGGAAGGATCCAAGTTCAATCCCCAGTACCAAAAGAATAAATAAATAAATAAATTTCAATATGGATTAAACTAAGTACTACCAAGAATAAGACACGGGTATAAAACAGAAAGCTTACTTACCCGAGGGATCACTTCTGGGTGTTTGATCCTAAATTTTTCCTTGTTGCTTTAAAAGAAAGATGAAAAATGAACATTTGACATTTGCCTCATTATTACGTCTAAATCCTATTTTTCAAAGACATACTTAACTTCATTGCCAAATTACTCTGACATGTACATTGAACTCTGCTTCAATTTCATAATTAGTGGCAAGGCCTTGGATGAAGGAATATTATCTACCTCACAAACAGGATCTCAGAGATATCCCTTGCTTTTGGATAGGAAGAACCAGGATGGTGAAAATGGCTATACTTCCAAAATTGTTATACAGACTTAATGCAATCCCAATCAAAATTCCAACAGCATATCTCACAGAATTAGAAAAACCAATCCTAAAATTCATTTGGAACCAGAAGAGTCCTAGAATAGCAAAAGCAATTCTGGGCAACAAAGGTAAGGCAGCGGACATCACAATCCCTGACCTAAAATTATACTACAAAGCTACTGTGATTAAAAACAGCATGGTACTTAAAGAAGAATGAGCTTCAGAGGATGGACCTCGAGATCATACTCTTAAGTGAAATCAATCAGACACACATATTTAAACACTATTGTTTCTCTGGAGTAAGAAATCGAAAGTGGAAATGAGAACTAAAATATATAATAAATATTGGGAAATGGGAAGAAAATGTTCAAATGGGAAGGGGAACAAGTGAGGAAGGAGGGAGAAAGGAAGGGAGAAGGAAAAAAATGAAAATAGAAGAAAAAAATGGAAACAAAACTTTTGTACATCGGGGGGGTTGGGGGCCTGAGGGGAGGGGAGAATGGGAAGAAAGAGACAGGATTAAAAAAAATAAAAACAGAATCTCAGAACACCTTAATAACTTCCTGAAGGCTGGGGATTTAGTTCAGTGGCGCTGCACCTGCCTCCCATGTGCAAGATCCCAAGTTCGATCCCCAATACCACAAAAAAGTATGTATAAATAAATAAATAAATAAATAAATATCTTCCTGAAGCTTTCAATCTCCCTAGGCCTCAACTGCAGGCCCTTGAAAGAGAATATCATACAAGCTCTCTCTGCAACCAATACCGCCACTGAATGTAATCACAGGATAGTGAGTGAGTGCGCTGCAGAGCAAAATCATCTGGGCAGTCCCTGGTGAACCCGGCCTTCTCTGTCCAGCGTGTCAGCCTAATGTTGCCCCAGATTATCTACCCATGCCCACTTTCCATTACTTCCATTCACACATCTACTCTAGTCAAGCAGAATGAATCACTGACCCCTATACACTCATTTTACCCATGCTGCTATCCATTAACTGATCACAGAAATCACCTGCATGACGTTTCCTGCTCCATCTCTGCCTTCCTCTCCCCTGGCCAGAAGCAATCTCTCCTCTTGAGCTTTCTTACAATTCATGTTGTATTCGCACAACTTCTAATTAGTAATGTATACACTTGACCTGTTAAGACTGGATGCTCCTAAGAGGAACACGTACTTACAATTCATGTGTACATGGCTCAACAACTACCAATGTTCTTAGTGTTTTAGACAGGACAGCAATAAACATCAAGTGATCACACAGCAGGTAACAGACTTAAAAAACAACTGTAGGTATTCCACATCACCATCTTTTTAAATGTACACAAGGTACAGCTTAGTCTTGGGGGAAACATTAATCAAAAAGCTGAGACATTACTGTTCATGATTTGCAACACTTACTTCTTTTTGTAGGTTTTTTCATATGTGGGATGTACCAAATCTTCATCTTCAGGTTCTTCGGGAACGTCACAATTTCTAGAGAGAAAGAGCACATGGCAATAACACATCACCAGCACCTATTCAGACATCTTGAATAGTACTTTCTGCCTTTCCAAAAAGGGTACTACCAACTATATGGTACCTGAACTGTGGGTCAGGGTTATTGGAGCAATACCATTTTTCTGGAAGTTGATCTATCCCATCTGGTAATTTTCGCCACTTTAGGCAGGAATCACACTGAACCCATGTCTGATCAGGACCTTTCCTGTAAGACAAGAGCAAGATATTATCATAGATAATACGAATCCAATTCATCAGATTTTCTACATTATTCCCACCACAGGACACCTGATTATTTAATTCATTTCCTGAAAATTCTGTGACACGACTGTTTTGGGTGTATGTCAATGTAAACGTTTAAGAACAGAAAAACGTGCTAAGTTCCCTCAGAGGCCTGGCGGGCGCCGCCCAGGATGTGAGCGTGGCAGGCTGGGCCATGACCAGATAAAATTGCTGCTTACAATTGATCTCTATAAATTCTTGTCAGCTCCTTGGGATTTGGAAAGAAATGCCCACTGTCATACCTAGTGAAAGTAATGAGCTTTCAAGCGGTAGTCCAACTAAGAAAAACAGACTTTCCTCGAAGTTTTTTTTTCAGAAAAAGGAAACCAAGGGAGCCTTAGATTTTACAGACTATCACAAAAATGAGGAAAAAGCTTCTGAATATAGAGGATCAGAAATTGACCAAGATGTTCCTGCAGCACAGTCCTCACCTAAACTGTGAGAAGACAGAAAACTTGCTGCCGTTTGTAGGACTGAATAATCTTGGCAATATTTATTATCTTAATAGTATAGTTCAGGTATTATATTTTTGTCCTGGTTTTAAATCTGGAGTGACGCACTTATTTAATATTATTTTAAAGAAGAAAGAGGCGCTGAAGTATGAAGCCCATCAAAAAGACAAGGGAGGGCCAGGGATTTAGCTCAGTGGTTTTGCCACCTGCTGCGCAAGCACAAGGATCCGAGTTCGAGCCCTGGTACCAAAAAAAAAAAAGACAGGGAACTCAACCCTATGAACAAAGGATATCTATAGCATGACGCACAGGAAATATTACAGTATATTTTGGGAAACATTCAAAAAAACATGCCAATCCTAAAAAAAGAAGTAAAAAATGTGACAGAATTATCCACAAAGGTAGGAGAAAAGCCTCATCAGAAAGAGGAAGTGAGTGGAATAACAGCATGGAAATGGACAATATGAAGAATTCTGAGGACTATAAAGAAAAACCTCCAAAAGGGAATGGGAAAAGAAAAAGTGACACTGAATTTGGTAACATGAACAAAAAAGTCAAAATATCCAAGGAACACCAGTCACTGGAGAAGAACCAGAAACAAATGAGATAAAAAAGGAAAGCTACCGGGGAAACACTGGAGAATCCTCCTAAAGTAATCCTCAAGTTTGTTTCTGAAAGTGAGAGCACAGGACCCTCAAAAAAGAAGTCAAGAGTTAAAATAAATTGGTAAAAGTCTGCAACGAAGCAACTCAGCATTAATTCTAAATTCTGTAGTCTGGGAAAACAGCAAACCAAGGATCCATAAGACACTCTAAAGAAAGCAAATCTGATCTTAAAGAGGACTGCAGGAAGTAGGAAAGTGACAATACAACTCATGGTGTGGACTTGACTCTCCAGAAGATATCGAAATGTAGATGATGATGAAGTTAAGCCCATAAACAAAGGTGCAGAACAAATTGGTTTTGAGCTACTGGAAAAAATATTTCAAGGTCAGGTGGTATTAAGGACTCGTTGCTTGGAATGTGAAAGTTTAACAGAAAGAAGAGACGATTTCCAGGACATCAGTGTACCAGTACAAGATGAACTTTCCAAAGTAGAGGAGAGTTCTCAAATTTCTCCAAAGCCAAAAACAGAAATGAAGACCTTGAGATGGGCAATTTCAGTTTGCTTCGGTGGAGAGGATTCTAGGAGAAGATAAAGATGTCTGTGAAAATTGCCATCATTACACTGAAGCTGACAAAATGCCCGACGTTATAACCATTCATCTGAAGTGCTTTGCTACTAGTGGCTTGGAGTTTGATTGTTACAGTGGTGGACTTTCCTAGATCAACACTCCCTTACTGACACCTCTTAAGGTGTCGCTAGAAGAATGGAGCACAAGGCCAACCAATGAAAGCTATGGATTATTTGCAGTTGTAGTGCACAATGGTACTACAATTAGCAGTGGGTATTACACTGCTTCTGTTAAAGTCACCAACCTCAACAGCTTAGAACTGGACAAGGAGAATTCTATGGTTGACCAGATGTGTAAAGTGAGTAAGCTAGAGCCACTGAATGAAGAGGAAGCAAGGGGTGCAATTGAAAATTATGATGATGAAGAAGTGTCTATGAGTTGGTGGAAATGCACAGCCAAGTGAAGTTTTAAACAAAAAAAATGTAGAAGCTATTGGACTTCTTGGAGGACAAAAGTGCAAAGCAGATTATAAACTCTACAACAAAGCATCTAATCCTGCTAAGGCTGCCAGTACACCATTTGCTGAAAGCAGAAGTTCTGAGACTAACAGTACTAATGGGACCCATGAACCAGACAGAAACCAGGAATCCAGCGTCCAAATAGGCATTTACAGGAGTGAATTTAAGAAGAAAATTTTCTGTGTAGTGCAAAGTTTAAAGGAATATGAGGGGAAGTGGTTGCTTTTTGATGATTCTGAAGTGAAAGTTACTAAAGAGGACTTTTTGAATTCTCTTTCCCCTTCTACATCTCCTACATCTACTCCTTACTTGTTATTTTATAAGAAATTATAGAGTGGGTGTATTTTCCCTGTGTACACATTAAATAGGCCTGGCCAACATTGGTAATGTTGATTACACAGTCTTCTAGCTTATCTTTAATTTTTTTTTTTTTTTGGTACTGGGGATCGAACTCAGGACCTTGCATTTGAGGCAGGTGCCAGAACTGCTAAGCTAAATCCCTGGCCCCTTCTAGCTTATCTTTTAAAGCTACTGGATATCATGGGTCTCTCTAGGTTTCTATATAATAGTGAGATTTGAAATACTGAAAAACCATGTTAATTTTTAGAATTCATTTTCCTTCATAGAGACAAGTGATATGTTAGTTTCTGGGAACAAACTTGTATAGATTCTGAACTGAATTATTCAAAATGGAAGCATTTAAACTTTTTGGATTTACACCAATCTTTTGTGTTTGCTTTTTAAAACAAAGTGCTTGTGGGCTGGGAATTTAGCTCAGTGGTTCCCGGGCCTGCCTTGCAAGCGCAAGGACCTAAGTTCAATCCCTGGTACCAAAAAAATAAATAAATAGAATAAAGTGCTTGTATTTGTATTCTCCATGTTTTGGAGAAATTATCTAAAAATAAATAAATAAATAAATAAACAAACTTTTAAGAACAACCATTTGGCTACCTTCAAATGGTTAAAGGTCACAGGTCAATTTGAATAAAGAAATTCAAATGTCTTGTTTAATACCATTTTAAATTTTTCTAGGTTAATAGCACATTTAAAAATATTACAAATAACTTGCTCTGCAAGTTATTGTAAGTTAGGACCTGTAAAGTTAAATCTATAGTATATTTATAACACAATAACAGAAAACTAGAGAAATTATATTATAGTTATATTAAAATTAGCAATTTTAATTGTATGTTTATATTTTTACTTTCTACTATAGCATATTTCTGAATAATCAAAATTTGTACTTTCTAAACTTGATGTGTAATATTTGTTCTTTTTTAAAAATTGGGCTGGAAGCTAGACATGATGGTACATGCCTGTAATCTCAGCACTTGGGAAGCTGAGACAGGAGGATTGCCATGAGTTTGAGGCCAGCCTGGAATCCATAATTAGTTCAAGGCTAGCCTGAACTACATAGCAAGACCCTGTCGAAAGGAAAGGAGAGGGGAGGGGAGGGGAGGAAAAAGAAAAGACAAAACAAGACAAATTGGGCTAAGGGTACATATGCAGCTCAGTGGTAATGTGCACTTTCCACGTCCAAGGCCCTAAGGATAGATCCCCAGGACCAAAATGAGGAATAAAAATGCATTTATACATTTTTATCAAACTTCAAATTAACCTAGAAATTTATAAAGTTTAAAAAAAACCTTGTTTAAAGAGATTATCATTATCAATTTTCTGAATCCTGGAAGAAATTTTCCATGCTTTTAAAAATGCAGATATGTAGATGGCTATTCAGGAAAAAGGTGGGGGGCTTTACAATGAGCTGCATTTTTCCTAGTTTTCACTGTATCTCAGCTCTCCTGGCCCATTGTCCATGCAGATACCACTCATTTACTGATGGACAGGATCGTTACTAGGTGTGCTGTGCGCTGTTACTGTTTGTCAGGTCCAGAGTGTTTAATTCTTACAACTTGATAAGACTGATACTGTTTTTGAATGTACTTACTGTATATCTTCAACTGGCAAATTTAGAGGATATTCTGCATTCTTCTTCACTTTCATTTCATTCCAGTAATCATTCAGTTTTTCTCCTAGTGCTGTAACTGTAAGCCTTAAAACAGTATAAAATCAATTCAAGAAAAGATATGATAAGGACACAAGTTTTTTCAAACATTGAGAAAACAATCCACTAACAATTCTTTTTTCAGGATGGGGAACTGAACTCAGGGTTCCCAGGCACACTAGGCAAGTGTTCTGCCACTGAGCCACAGCCCCAGCCCTCTGGTGATGATTAAATGGCAGTGTGAAAGAACATTCAAAGTTATCCCAGTTTTCTATAGGGACACTGTACAGGGGTATAGCTCAGTGGTAGAGTGCTTACTGAGAATACATGAGGCCCTAGATTTGATCTCAAGCACACCACTTGTACAAATCTTAATTCAATATAAAAAAAATAATAGCATGCCAGTCCTCTGATAAGAAAGTATGCCGTAGAGCAATTCCTGGGAGAGCTAGGCGCTCCCTGTGTTTCAACCCCATCCAGTAAATGTGTAGCTTCAGCTCACATTAGAACTCCTTTTGTAACTTATGCAGGTGATCATTACTACTGAGCATACTTCAAAATAGCTTAAGTCCTAAAATCAAGACTTTGCTTCTCCTACAATAAGAAATGTAAATTAAGGCCACAATAGCACAATTGTTTATTAAGTAGTTCAGCACCCATTGTGCCAGGAATAGTATACACAGAACACTCAATGCAGGCACTGTAACATTATGAATTTAAACAAAAAGCCTTTACAAACCAGGCCCTCTGTGTCCTGGCAGGTTAGTCCTGTGCGCAGGTAGCTAACCCCGCAAACTGGCCCCACGCACTCCCACTTACTTCAGCTGTCCCCCAGGCAGGACGACTCTCATGGGCAGGGCCCATGGTATCGTAGTGTCCAAAGACCCACTCTTCCCTTCTTTCTCATCACCTCTTCTCCACCTCCACCTGAGACTGCCCTTAGCACTGCTGAAAATACGCCTGCGAGCGGGAGCCTCACAGTCACAGAGCACATGCACCACGAAGAGGTTTATTCAACAGTCCATCAGTTCAAAATGATCAACAATCTCACCTTCTGGTGACTTAGGAGATTTTCAAGCACCCTATACCTTGCCGACATATGCTGTACCTTTTTCATCTTAGACATATTTTCCACTTTTGCCCACTATGATCAGTACTTTTTGGGTCCTGCTCAAAATACTCGCCTAACTAGGTATGATTCAGTGGTAAGGCACTTACCTAACACAGGATACGAAAGAGCTTGGATTTGATCCCTAGCACAGCCGAAAAAAGGAAAAAACACAACAACCCAGCTTCACAAAGGGCATGAAAATATTTTTCTGTATTTCCCATTGCTGTTTTGGTCATTCTCATTTGGGAGGAAAAGCTCAGCTGGAGCTGATTTTAGAGGCAGGAGTTAAGGTTCCTTTATCTACACAAAGGCCAAATGACCCTGAATTTGGGAAGGATGGTAATTCTCCCATTGTACTCTACCTTTGAGATAAATCAGGCAACCAGATGTCTAAAGTGGGAGTTTGGCCTCTCTATTTCACTAGATGATCTGTCTGTCCTTTATAACAACATCACACTTCGTAGTCACTATAGCTTTACAGCAAACTAATATCTAGTAGTGCATAAATCTATTTGCTCTGTTGATCGTCAATGTTTGTTGTAGTTATCTTTGGTAGTATCTGACAGAATTTAGAATAAGCCTATTAATACCAACACTTATAAAAAAATCAACACTTATAAACATTTGCAAAAGCTGGAAAATTAAATGACTTAATCACTTTGGAGAAAAATTATCATTTTATTATATTTGACCTTCTAATTCTCTGACCTAGTATATGTATTTGGTTAAATCTTAAACTTCTTGCCACAATGTTTTCTCAGTTTTCAGTAGAGGCTTTGTATATTTTAATTATTCTGGACCTCTTACATAGTTGATACTATTAGTTTTATTTTCTTCCTTCCCAATAATTTTACTTCTTCCTTTCCAATCTTTTTCTTGCTTTGTGTTATCTCACAAAAAGTGGTGAACATTTGATATACTGATTCCCACTTTTAGAGGAAAGCTGTCAATAGTTCACCAGTAGACATGATGCTTGTCATCTTATAAATTCTTTCTGCTTAACATGCCCTTCAATCCATGGTTTTAAGTGTTTGAGGTTTTTTTAGAATTTACAACAACAAAAAAATCACAAAAGGGTACTGAAATTTTATGAAGCTTTTTTCTGTATTTATGAAGATAACCATAAGTGTTCTCTAATTTTTATATCAATGTGATGAAGTACACTGATGTTCACACATGAAAAGCACCGCTGCTGTGTTGGAATCCAACCCACTGGCTGTAACACATTCCCACTGGCTCGAGCCATAAGTGGTATGCACTGACTGCCCCATGGGGCAACATGGGACAGTCCCATCAGTAGGACACACAAATTATAGCTCTGTCATGAACATGTTAATGTATTATCCTTTTTACATGTCACTGGATGATATTTGCTATTACATTAAGGTTTTATTTCTAAGATAAGAGAACTACAAAGCAAGACCTTGTTCTCAAACAACCAGAAAACAAAACACCCCCCACATATTCCCTTTCTTTTGATATACTTTCCAGCTTACTATCAAGGTTATGTGGCCTCATAAAACCTTTAAAAGTTTTTGTAAGATTGATGTCACTTGTTCCTTAAATGTTTTAATTTGATAATGTGGAAGTTTTCTTTTATTGGTCTGTTTTTGAGACAGTCTTGCTACATAGCTCAAGCTGGTCTCAGTATCGGGATGCCCCTCTTGTCTCAGGCTGCGGAGTGCTGGGATCATAGGTGTGAGCTACCACATCCTGCTGTGTGGGGAGTTTCCTAACGCTGACTCAATTTCAAAGTAAAGTGTCCACGTTATCTAAAATGGTAAAAAATTTTTCCTGCTATCCTTTTTAATGCTTTTGTGTCTATAAGACCTATACTATCTTCCTTTTCATTTCCTATACGGATGTGTATTTTCTCCTTTTTACTTTAGTCTTGACAGATACAAATTCTATTAATCTCATCAAAATACAAGCTCTTGGCTCCAGGCCAGTCCAGGTTCTGGCATTTTGCCAGTACCAAAAAAAAAAAAAAAAAACAAACCAACAAAAAGAGAAAAAGTTCCTAGCATGAAATGACAATGGAAGTACAACACACCAAAACCTAAAATGGAAAATGCACACATAAAAAGAACAGATTGACCTCAAACAAGTAACCTAATGATGCATCTCAAGGTCCTGGAAAGATAAGAACAATCCAAATCTGAAACTAATAGAGGGAAGGAGATTATAACAATCAGAGCAGAAACTGATGAAACTAAGACTATAAAACAATACAGAGGATCAAGCACCAAAGGTTTAGTTCTCTGAAAGGATGGGAAGGAGATCTGGAGGTGGGAGGACAGTAGGTAGGGACTGGAAGGGAAGAAAACAAGGATCAAGATACAACATGTGTATGCACTAATTCCCCCCACACTGAATGTATTTACTATGCATCACAAACATACACTAATAAAAAATTGAGAAAAAACCCAAAGCAAAGAAGAAAATAACAAAGGTATATAATTTTTAAAAAAGAACCAGCAGCAGCTGGTGTGGTGGTACACGCCTGTAATCCCAGCACTTGGGAAGCTGAGGCAGGAGGATCCCCATGAGTTTAAGACCAGCCTGAACTACATAGCAAAACGCTGTCTCAAAAAAAAGAATATGAATTTTTTTAAAAGAAAATGGCACAAGTCACTACTTTCTTGTTAATCCATTTCCTATGACTCTCAGTAAACAATTTAAATAGGAAACATACCTGTACTCATTAGTGTAGTCAAAATCTTGCTTATTATGAGTTGGCTTAAGGAAATTACACTCTATAATTCCAACCACTCCAACACCCATGTTGTTTGCCTGAAATAACAACATGAAATCATTACTTCAGACATATCATGCTCAAAACACTCTTACACAGAGATTTACAACTTGTAGAAAATACTTTCCTATATTTAACACAAACAAGTCTCATGAAATTTAGACTGAAAACAAAACACTTTCTGGAAGGTGATTTATGGGGGAGGGGGGCTTTTCTCCAAAACCATTCCCATTACTTACAAATATCTACTTTTTTTTTTTTGGAACTAGGGATGTTCATCTGGACCTTGCTCTTGCCAGGCAGGCGGCAGAACCACTGAGCTAAATCCCTGGCCCACAAGTATCTATTTAGACAAGTACAGCATTATCATCCCGGCCTCAAATTTGTTCAAGCGAAAAAGGACTTCTACTAGGCTGCAATTCCTTAGAGAACAGGATCCACAAATAACTCATCTCAGTACCGCAGTGCCTCATAAAGGCGGTGGCATATAGTATTCTGATGGTCTGCTAGATACAAGTTACCAGCCTGTAGTCCAGCACTCAGGAAGCTGAGGCAAGAAGATCACTTGGAAAGAGTCCAGGAGGTTCAAGGCTAGCCTACACAACACAGCAAAAGCCCATCTGCAAAAAAACCTGAAGCCATTTAACCAGTTTTGCATTCAGTTGCTAATGAGGAAGAAATAAAACCTAGGTCAATTGAATCAATTTTTTTTTTTAAATCCTTGCTACCTAAAATACTGAGCTCAAATTGTATGGGTCATATTCTGAATATTTACATGAGATTAATGAGTGTATTCTGCTCAGAACTAACACTTCTGAATCAACATTCAAAGAGAAAAAGATGAAAGCATGTGTGATGCACAAAATGAACATTTTCATAAACCACAGACCAAATCATTCAAACCAAACCACAGACCTGCTCAACCTCATCTTGTAGAATCTGTAAACCGTGCTGACACCAAGACCACTTTCTTTTGCAGTTCCTGTCCTTTCTCCCAGCTTCATCCTCCCGCTTCTCCCCATCCCTGTGGGCCTCAGACACAGCCAATGTACTCCCTGTATGCTGTCGGGCTCTCAGAAGTCACCTCTGCTGGCAGAGTCCTTCTTGGACTCTGCGGGACAGTGACATCAACAGAGACATCTCAGTCACCAGTGCCTCCAACAAGACTTTCCCAACACTTGAGGATACGCAACAGGCCCTTCACCAACTGCGCTGTGGCACACATGATCTTATCTTTAATAAGCTGAGCACATAGCACAGTATTTCAGACTGAGTATCTGACACCTGTTTGTTCACTAAACCCACAGAATGCAAGTATTTGGCCCATTCCATCCTCCATCTTGTGGTAAGACAAACATTAAAACTTTGCTCTAACAGTCTATTTTTACCAGAAAATTTGACCCAGTCTATTTTGACCCAGAAATTGTATACAATGCAAATTCTGAAAAAGGGGCTTTGTATTCTACCTAGTTAAGTAAAATTCATAAATGACAAAAGAAATTTACAAATACACATGTTGCAAACACATACTAGCAAAATTCCACTACCAAAAATGCATTTCTAATTACTAATAAAGTTAATTAACTTTAATAGTACATTATAGAATACTTCTGGAAAAAATAAGTGTTTCAATTATAGCTGGAAAATTACCATTTTAAATGTCACTGGTACCTCATATGATTGCCAGATTTTTGGATTTATTTCCTGACTGAAATTAGTAGTTGTAAACAACAGTCCAACAAAGTTCTTTTTTTTTTTTTTTTTGGTACCGGGGATTGAACTCTGGACCTTGCGCTTGTGAGGCAGGCAGCAGAACCACTGAGCTAAATCCCCGGCGTAACAAAGTTCTTTTACTTCTGCAAAAATGCAGCTGATTACTCTGGGCTTGTGTCAGGTAATAGGTGAAGCAGAGTTATAACCCATGTTGGACTGTATTCAAGATGAATTCACATTACTACACCATGAAGCTCAGAACATTCTAGAAAGAACTGAGAATGAAATAAGGTGCACAGGAAATAAACTGTGGAGAACTAGGAAAAACATACCCAGTGTTAAGGTTTGTGTCTCGATGTCCCCCCAAGGCCTCACGCACTCATAGCTGAAGCTTCTGGGAGGTGCCTGGATCTAAAGTGTATGATGGTGGATTTGGGTATGTGGTGCTGGGATTAAGGGCAGATGTGGATAGTACCAATCAATAGGCTTGTGACCTGGATGGAATACAAAGGGACAGAAAGAAGGCAGGCTCACTGCTGCTGCTTGGTGCTTCACTGCCTTCTGCCTGCCATGCCATGAACTGTTTCTCTGTGATGCTCCTCTGCTATGCCACACTGCCTTGGAGCCAAATGACTATATTTTTTTTGGTACCAGGCACTGAACTCAAGACCTTTTGCTTGTGAGGCAGGTGGCAGAACCACTGAGCTAAATCCCCCACCCCAATCAGACTGAAACCTCTATATATTGTGAGCCAAAATAAACCTCTCCTCCTTTAACTTGTGTCAGGTATTTTGTCCTAGCAACAAGTAACTAAGACATCCAGTCTTAAAACCTATTAACATGAGGTGCCGGGGATTTAGCGCAGTGGTTCCGCCACCTGCCACACAAGTACAAGGACCGGAGTTCGATCCCTGGTACCAAAAAAAAAAAAAAAATTGTACTACATGCAAAAACAAAAAAACCTATTAACATGGAAGCAGGTGGTGGCACACGCCTGTAATCTAGCACTGGGAAAGCTGAGGCAGGAGGATTGCCATGAGTTCAAGGCCACCCTGGGCTACACAGTGAATTCAAGGCCAGCCTGGACTACACAGTGAGACCCTGTTTCAAAAAAACAAAATATTGGGCAGGGGATTTAGCTCAGTGGCACCGCGCCTGCCTCGTAAACACAAGGTCCTGAGTTCAACCCCTGGTACAAAAACAAATAAACAAATAAATAAAACCTGTTAACAAAGTTAATTTTCAGAATTATCACTGCATTCTCAGAAAATGCATGCACACCCACGAAAAGCCTCTCTGAAAGCACACACAGGATTGAGAGGTTGACCTGATGGGTTATAGTCATCATCCTAAAGTGAATTCTACAACAGTAAAAGTTGCCAAGCAGACAATTTTAATATATTTAGGAACTAATTCCATAAAGAAAATAACCTATCAGATACCGTTTTTCCGGGTGATTCACTCAGCACTAATAAGCAGCAACTAATTTCATTCTAAGAAATAGTCACTGAATCCTTCTCCAAAGGCAGTCAAAGATGCCCATAGTTGCCTGAGATCTTACACAAACTGCAGAACCTATGTATTAGCCCCAACTTCCTTTTCTGTACAGTAGAATTAATGTTTTATCTCCCCTTCTAGAATCAAGTAAAAAATTAATGCAAAGTCCAAATGCCATACTAATGTTAGATTTGATATTTGCAGGTCTTTGGGGGGAAACACTGCAAAATTAATTTACCTTTGACTTAATAGCATGATACTAACTTTTGTTAAAAGCAGACATTTTCTAAAGGGGGGAGAAGAGGGAAAAAATAGACATTTTCTTTTCAAATATAAAATCTTACCCTTAGCTGACATCCAACTTTTTCATAAGCTTTGATGAGTCTATTTCTGTGATACATCATTATCCCATAATGATCTTTATTTCTGCAGTTGAATCCAAAAGTAATTCTCACTGTTCTAGTCTTAAAATGTTAAGGAAAATTCTAAACAAGACCTCACTCTCTTCCAATTATCTTTTCTATTTCATTTTTGTGGGGAGAGGGCAGGGTCTCACTATGTAGTTCAGGCTGGCCTTGAACTCACTATGTAGTCCAGGCTGGCCTTGAAATTATGGCAGTCCTCCTGCCTCAGCCTCCAGCATGCTGAGATTATCTATTCCATTATTAATAAATCCTAAAATACATAAAGAAGGGCAAAGTTGAGGAGGATTAGAATCCCTATAGAATAAAATGCGAAAGGGGCTTGATTGACAATGTTTGTACAGCATCAAAAAAAGGATACTAAAAATTTAGGTCGATAAACATCACGTTCAATGTAGGCAAGACTCTTCGAAACTAGCTGTGTCTTCACTTTCTGTCCACGCAAGATGATCTGCATTCTTGGCTTTAGATATAATATACTGCAATAAGCCTGCAACGAAACATAGCATTATCTACAGATTTGCTTGTTATTACACAGATATGCCTTTAAATAGAAAGCTAGCACCTTGCCTTGACAACACACACACTAATTCTTCAATAAAATGTATAGATAGGGTCACAGGTAAGTGATAAAGCTGTACTCAGCATGTGTGAGGCCCTGTTTCAAGTCCAGCACATGGGAAAAGGAAAAAAGAAAAAGAAAAAATATATGTATGTAAACAAAGAGAGGGAGGGCCAGGGATGTAGCTCAATGATCCAACAAATACAAGGCCCTGAGTTCGATTCCTGCTTCCAAAAAAGAAAAAAAAAAGAAAATCCCCCCAAAAAAAAAAAAAAAAAAAAAAGACAAAAACAGAATAAGAGACAAGAGAGAGACAAACACGTATTATAAAGCTATACTGGTTATTCAGATTATTTTCATTAAAAATAAACTCAAGGGGCTGGGGATTTAGCTCAGTGGTCGCGCCACTTGGGACCAGAGTTTGATCCCCGGTATTAAAAAAAAAACAAAACTCAAACAATAAATATAAAAATACTATGGTCAATGAAAATGAGGCAGGGCCGGGGATTTAGCTCAGTGGTTTCACCGCCTGCTATGCAAGGACCCGAGTTTGATCAAAAAATACCAAAAATAAAAAATACCAAAAAAAAAAATGAGGCACAGGTAACAGTCTACTGACCTATATATTACTAAGTGAAAAAAAGTTATAAACAGCATGCATGATCCCATTTTACTCATGTATATGTATTTTTAAGTACTTGAGGTTGAACCCAGAGCTTTTACACTGAACTACATCCCCAGTCCCTTCTTTATTTTGAGACAGGTCTCACTATGTTGCCAGAGCTGGTGTCAAACTTTCAATACTCCTGCTTCAGCCTCCAAAAGGGCTAGAATTAGAGGGATGCATCATTATGCCTGGCTTCATTTTAATTTTTAAAAATGTATATATGGGGCCAGGGATTTAGCTCAGTGGCACCGCACCTGCCTTGCAAGCACAAGGTCCTGAGTTCGATCCCAAGTACCGTAAAAAAATGTTTTTAATTTTAAAAAATAAATAGTTCTATTTAGGCAAAAATGAGCAAGATCTAACACAAACAAAAGAATAATATATGTTTGACAAGTAAATTCTAATACACTAACATTTAATCAAAGTAGACAGTTAATTTTTTAAAATTGAGCTGCAAACTATGCGTGCACTTCTTAAAACATGAATGTTGAAATCCTTTAGACATCTGGGCAAACTTTACACCTGAAACATGTTAAAATATGTTCTTTACCCACCACTGTGCCATCAGAAACTTCCAAAGGAAATGCACTGAGTAACTCAAAAAGGATAAGAAACAAGTTCAACACAAATGAAAAATCTGAACTTTTCTCTTAGCCCTGACGACCCATTTCAAAAGTGAAGTGTATCACTTTTAAATTCATTAATGATATTTAAAATCTGCACACTTTGATTCTCTGGTTGCCACTGGTCCTATGTCATACTTGAACAAGATTCTTTTTTTCTTTCTTTCCTTTCTTCAAGAGCAGCACTGGGGATCCAACCCAGGGACAGTCTATGCAGGGCACTCTACCACTATATCCCCAGCCCCTTTTATTTCTTATTTTGACACAAGGTCTCTGTAAATTGCCCAGGCTGGCCTTGTATTTGAGAACTTCCTGCCTCAGCCTCCAGAGTAGCTGGGTTCTCCCAAGAGCTGGCTTTACCCTGGACCCCAGTACAACAGGACATACCAAGGAACAGCATACTTCTGCTACCACAATTGCTAGGACCTCACAGAAAGTTATATGGCAACCTTGTAAATCTCCAACAGTTTCAGCTTGCAGTTATGAAATAATTTTAGCATACACACATGAACAAAGTTAAAGTTTTACCACGGCAAAGTTAGTCAACATCTCTTACTGACTAAAAACAATTATTTTCATTATCGTATCAACATTGTTACAGATTTTTATTTTTTCAATCCTAACAATATGCCCATTTTTAAGGTCAAATCTCAAGATAAAATTTTCACAAAATTATAGTAATAATAATCTATAGTCTATATTGACTTAAGAGGACAAGATATATTAGACAAGTATTCCAAAACATTGTGAAAAAAATTAAAATGCACTTTGAATTTGGTGTTTGTGCCTGAACCGATCAATAAGGCCATCACAAAAATAGACTGTGGGTGGCACACAGCTCAGTGATACAGTGCTTGCCTACTGGGTTCGAGCCAGAGGGGGAAAAACGAATTCCAGTAACACCAATTCAAACCACCTGGGTGCACAGTGAAGAACTATAAGCCCTATTAAATGTGATTGAAACTAAACCAGCTTTTCTAAGCAAATAAAACACACATGCACTACTCCCGAGCTCACTGGCAGCTGATATGAGGCCAATGGACAAGTGGCTGACCAAAGGCAGCACCGGCGCAGTCCTCAGAGACCCTCAGTGACAAGCTCAGCACAGAGCTGCATACATACCCTCAGGGAATAGTCACTCTCGGGGGCAATCTGGTCTATCCTTTCTTGCTTCTTGTACCCTTTCTTCCCTGTGGTCTCATCTAAATCCTCAGGAATTCTGATGTCATATTTATCCTTTTCAAAATCAAACTCTGTTGAATTTTTGTAGCTGTAAAAATAATTTTAGAAAGCAAAATTTAACTTCACAGCAAATAAGCAATCAAGCAAGCAAATTGAAAAAACAAAAAAAAACTTATGGATGGTAAACTTAATGGGGGGTGGCTGGATACAAAAGCAAAATAAAAGAAAAGGAATCCAAAAAACCATATATGCATGCAGTGGTAGTGGGAATATAAAATGATAGTCTTGCTGGCAAACTAGGAGTTTCTTAGCCTATTGAAAATACAGCCAAGGCATGATGCCACATGCCTATAATCACAGCACTTTTGGAGGCTGAGGCAGGAGGATATTTCACGCCCTGTCTGGGAGATTTAGCAACTCACAAAGACCCTGTCACAAAAAAACAAAACAAAGTGGGGGCTGGGGGTATAGCTCATACAAAGGCCCTGAGTTTAATCTCCAATACCCCCTTCTGCCCTCTCCCTCTCTCCCCACATGATCCAGCAATTACACTCTTGGGCATTTATTTTTTAAAAACCAAGTCTACATTCCCCTGAAACACCTGTACATCAATGTTTACAGCATTATTTGTAACAGCACCACATAAACAACCCAGATGTCCTTTTTTTTTTTTTTTTTTTGGGTACTGGGGATCAAACTCGGGTCCTTGCGCTTGCACAGCAGGCGGCAAAACCACTGAGCTAAATCCCCGGCCCCAATCCAGATGTCCTTTAACAGGGGAACAGTTAAATATAATGGGCGTCTGTCCATACAATACAGTATGAACAAGAAGCCAACTACAGACACACACAAGAACTTGGATGTGTCTCCAGAGAACCACGCCTAGGTGAAAAATGCCATCTCAAAAGGTTTCACACTGTGACTGCGTGGATACATTATTTGAAATGACAAAATTATGGCAAGAGAACAGATTAGAGGTTGCCTGGAATGAAGTGGGAAAGGGAGTCAGAAGGATGCAGGCTCTGAAATGGCAACAGTGACTCCTAGCATGATCAGTGTCCTCCGTATCGTGACTGTTGAGGAAAATCCTGTCACTATCAACAGCACTACTATACTATAGTTCCAAGTAGCACTATTTTGGCAAACTGGGTAAAAGGTATAGGAGATCTCTGGATTATTTCCTAGAACTGCACACGAATCTGTAATTATTTCAAGGCAGAAAGCTTAGCCAGGGAGTTAGCGCATGCCTGCCTGGCAAGAGCAAGGTCCTGAGTTCAGTTTCTGGTACCGAGGGAAAAGAAAAAAAAAAAAAAAGAAGTGGGCCAGGGATTAGCTTAGTGGCCCCACACCTGCCTCGCAAGTGCAAGGTCCTGAGTTCAATCTCCGGTACCGGCGCAGGGAAAAGAAAGAACAAAAGCTTAGCTGAAAAAAACCTGCAGGATAAGGGGCAGGAAGGCGAAAGCAAGAGGAAGAAAATAAATGGGAAAAGGAAAAGGGATCGGGTCGGAAAAAGCACAAGTTTTACAGGTATTTAGGGTTAAACTTATTTGTGCTTTATTCCTATGGTGCAGCATATCTTTGACTTTTCAATTTACATATTAATCCTAAATTCTGGAGTTTTATTTACAAAGGACTTTTTTCCTCACAAGGATAAAAAACTATAAATTTTAGCAGTGTAAAAATCTCATCTAAGCCAGGCATAGTGGCACACATCTGTAATCCCAGTGCTTAGAAGGCTGAGGCAGGAGGATTGCCGCAGCCACAAATTCGAGGCCAGCCTGAACTACATAGTGAGACCCTGTCTCAAAAAAAAAAAAACAAGCAAGACAACCCACCTCATCTATGTTACTTTTCTTACCAGACGCTAGACGATGCTTAGCTCTCAGTAACAAATGAAATGGAAAAAGATTTCTCTCCCTAACTTTCACAGCTGGACGTGTCATAGCTGGGCTTTTGTCTTCAGTTCTCTCATGGTTTTGAGAAGGGGAGGTGGGGCAATAGAAAACAGTGTTACTGGAGACTGGGTTTACAGCAATATGAATATCTCAGACTGAAGCCAAAGCAGCCTCAGTAAAATACCTCTGGAGAAGCCAAATCATTAACAATGCCAAGCACTGAGAACCTCTGCCTGTGTCTACACTGTGTCACAAACGCTACACATGAGGAAACCAATTCTGCACAGGTAACTTACTTCCCTCAGTGGACAACTACTGCCTGAGAGCTACACTTACCTTCTAAGATTCCAAATGATGATCCGAGTCCCCTTCTTACCCATAATTGCATCAAGTTCTGCCAGCAGCTTTTGCTCAGTAGGAAACAGAGAATGTTCTAGAATTGCAGCAAGGCTCACTTTTGATTCTGCTAAGTTAATCATCTGTCGTACATCCTTAGTCAAGGACTGAGATCAATAACATATTTTCCACAATTATAATATAGAAAGCAACCCTAATAAACTTAATAGAAAAACTATTTCCTGAAGTGTTAAAATGGCAGTTTGGGCCAGGCACGGTGGCACACACCTCTAACCCCAGCTGCTCAGGAGGCTGAGGCAGAAGGATGGCTAGCTGAAGGCCACCCTGGGGAACTTAGTAAGGCCCTGTCTCAAAAAAATAAAAATGGCTGGGGATGTAATTCAGTTGCAGAGCACTTTGCCTAGCATGCACAGGCCCTGGGTTTGACTCCCAGTACTGCAAAATGAATGAATGAATGAATGAATGAATGTAGGAATGAATAAAATGGCAGTTCATTTTCAAGCGAACTCTAGGAAGAATTAAAAACAAGTAAGTTTACTATCACTGCTAACTAATTTGGTGCTATCCAATATTTCAGTGTGTTTACATAGAAGGCATTTTCCAGAAGTTTTCTTGCTTTTCGTGGTTGTTAGCAAAACTTTCAAGCCAGCGCACAAAATCTTATTAGTCCAAAATAAGCTGGAATAAAGAGAAGATCTATGAACAAAGCTCTCTGTGGTGTTGGGGAACAAACCCTGCCAGCCGCACACTCTTACCACTGAGCTCCACCTCTACCCCCTGGAATCAATCTACTGTAGAATGCAAGCAACCTAGGCTGAGGATTTCCACGGCACAATCTAACAGAGAGGACAAGTCCAGAGCTTCAGGTGTGGGGTAAAGGCAGTGGACACAGAAGAGAGCTAGAACAGCTGTGATTACAAAATAGAAACGTGCTCTGGGAGGCTGAAGCAGGAGGGTGGCAGGTGAGAGCCCAGCCTGGGCCACTCAGTAACTTAGCAAGACTGTCTCAAAATATAAAAGGGCTGGCGATGTGGCTCAGTTCGAAGATCCTAGGTTTATCCCTAGTATGGCAAAAACAAATAAAATAAGGATTTGGAGGAAGGCAAAAGGGTAGAACATTTCAGAGTATTTTCCAGTTTCCCCACAGCTTCTATTTCTCAAGCAAAAGGATATGGTGCTTGTTGAAGGCAACAATTGGGACAACCACATGTTCTGCTTTGATGGCTTCCAGGTAGGTCTGCGACAAGAACCCCACACTCATGCTTTCTCCATTTTTGGTAAAAACGATTGCGTCTTTACCCAAGCGCATAGAGCCTGACTTGAATCCATTCCCATACAATCCAACCGGGACATGACCATTCATGGTAACTTTATCACTGAAGCCAAAGCTAGAAAGAGAACCAAAGATTTTTGAACAATAAACACCTACACCTTTGCTTAAAAAAAAAAAAAAATCCACCCAATATAATACCAAGTAAAAAGCTTGGCTCTCACATGCTGGCCTCTGCCTGCCTGGCTACAGAAGGTCAACCAAGTTACTCTTAATCTCTCTTGCTGTTTCCCTACCTCCATGGTGAGGACCCCCAGCTACATCACAGGGCAGAAGGGTTACAGCAGCGACAGGCACTCGTCTGGTTACCCCGGTTAAAGGGCCAGCGGTACCTTGAGCCGTCAGCCCAGGAATCTCTTCTGCTTGTTCTAAGTGAGCCTACATGGTATGATTTATCACGGGGGCACCTCACTTTCTGGCTGCATAAGAAATTTTTTTTTTTTGGTACCAGGGATCAAATTCAGGACCTTGTGCTTATGAGGCAGGCAGCTACAACACTGAGCTAAATCCCCCGCCCAAGAAATATTTAAGTGACAACAGAAGACCTCTGCTTCTACATTCTCTGTTCTGTTCAGTTTCCATTTCACGCACATTTAATTCATACTGACAACCTGCTCTCAGTCCAAGGCCTTCTGACTATTTTGTGCTGCTTTCTAGCCTCTCAATCTCTTTAAAGTTACTCCCCTCCAAAGCTAAGTTTTATTAGAAATATTGGTTAAAACTAATTTGCACTGAAGTGCAAACAGCAGATATAGCTTCAGTACTCTACAATTCTAAAGGAATGCTGGAATTGTAGGTAAGTAGACACAAGGAAGAGGAAACAAGAAAGATGGGGACTGCCTGATTATCTGCCATGTACAAAACAAAGGGAAGACTGTTAAAGAGACTCAATCACACTGTGAGAATTGCAGCTCAAGTTTTAAAACAAAAACTAAGGATAAAAAAGTATGACACACAAAACCCTTCCACTAGGTAAGAGCCATGGCTTTCCTAAGCACAGCACATTTGTACGTACCTAAGCATTTTGTGTAACTTATCTGGTGTCATACCATTCCCATTATCAGTAAATGTCAAGCATATCCGGTCATTTATCACTGTTTTGTCAATCCATATCTGTTTAGCGTTCACATCAGGATCATAAGCATTATCTGGAAAGCAAAGAGTTTTGAGAAATTCTGAGTTTGCATTTTAAAGAGCAATTAGTTCAGAACAAACCTGTAATAAGCAAAAGAATACCATTATTTTAAGACTACTTTAAAAGTTACAAGTTTGCCAAGGATGTGGCTCAGTGGCACCTCGCCTGCCTGGCAAGAACAAGGACCTGAGTTTGATCCCTGGACTGGAAAAAAAAAAGCTTACAAGTTTTAGGAACTCCAAAGGCTTGAAAACACGAAACTAAACTATGTTCGCTGACTAGAGAAGAATCGACCATTTCCAAAGCCCTCAGTGTTAGCAGGGAGCAGAGATTGGCACCTGTCGCACTGCACATGTCACAGTGTCACGGCACACGGGGATGGTAGGAGGTGTGACCTGGTGATCCTGATGGCAACCGAGAGTAGCCGTGGAGGTACACGGTACTTACTACACGGATGAAAAGCAGTATGGCCTTCGAGGCCACATACTCCATGGAAGACTCGCCTTACCAAGTTCTACAGCTGTGGCCCTTGTCAGTTTACCGCGTTTCTTCTGGCGGTCACCCTTATCTCTCTGCATACCTTCCCAATTAATATCCTTGTTTAAAAGCACACTCATTTCTCTCAGAGTAAGTGTAAAGAAATACACTGAAAAATGAAAGGGCCTGGGATGTAGCTCAGTGGTGCCTCGCCTACCTGGCAAGCGCAAGGTCCCGAGTTTGATGGAGGGCAGGGGACATAGTAACAGGAATAAGATCATCTCATAAATTACCCAAGACCTACCTGAATAGTCATATGTGTACTTATTTACTTATCAATCACACACACACATTTATCTCAATTTTTTCCCCCAGTACTGGGACCTGAACCCAAGGCCTTCACACTGAACTACATCTGTTGTTTTGGGGGTTTATTTTTTTGTTGTTTTCTGAGAAAGGGTCTCACTACGTAGTTCAGGGTGTCCTTGAACTCACTACATAGCACAAGCTGGCCCCAAACTTGAAGCAATTCTCCTGCCTCAGCCTCCTGAGTTCTGGGATTAAGGTGTGTGCCACTGTGCCTGGCTCACCTATAGTTGGTTTTGTTTCAGACAAAATCTTGCCAAATTGCCTCAACTGGCCTGACACTTGAAATCCTCCTGCCTTAGCCTCCCAACATGCTGAGATTAAGGCTTGCACTACCACACCTGGCTTTCTTGAAATATATTCTAAAGTCTTTATTATACATAATGGAGTTTTCAAATTCTCCTTTTATAAAGCAGCCTATAATTAAGTAATCTTTTTTCAACCACTTCAAGAGGACACCACAAAGAGAGCCATCAGAGTCACGGATTGCTCCTTTAAGATAACATGAAAAATAAGAATAGTGGGGCCTGGGATTTAGCTCAGTGGTTTCACCGACTGCTGCGCAAGGACCCGAGTTCAATCCACGGTACCAAAAAAACAAAAAACAAAAACAAACTGGAGGAAAAAATAAGAATAGCTATGTCAAGCAGGTGTGGAGGCATGCCTGCAATTCTAGCACTCTGGGAGGCCAAGGTGGGAGAATCCCAATTCGATTGGGCAAATTAGTGATTTAGTAAGAGACTCTCTTAAAATAAACAATAAAAAAAGGGCTGAGGATGTAGCTCAGTGCAAGGGTCCTTGGTTCAATCCCAAGTGTGCCTGGGGGTATGTGGCTGTAATGCACAGTACATCCACAAAATACCACCTGAACCCTCATTGTCAGGGGAAGTAAGAATTTACTAATATAAATCTAACAACCAAGAAGATGAATCCACTTGCACCTCTGAGAAGCATAATTCTCATTTTTTACTTTCATAACCCAAATGAAAATATTTTTAATACAGACACTTTATGAGCTTAGCAAATTAAATCTTAAGTACTAGGAAACAGCTGGGAAGTGGAACGCTGGGTAGGCATTAATCTGAGAATCACTGGACTAGCTGTCATGCTAGGTAGGTGAGCATCACCATTAATGTTCTCATTCAAGGTATTTTTCCCCCTATGGTACAAGTCTATAATTGTTCAGTAAACTCTTTAACGCTATAATTGCAAGCAACATACAGTATATGAAATGTTAACTTACGTACCTATTAATTCAGCAACTGCACTGAACGGCCAGGTATGACTAGTTGAATTTGTGTGTAAAAACTTCGGGCAAAGCTGAAACAAACCAACCAATGATTTATGTAAATTAATTCAGATCTTACTTCCGAGAACAAAAACCAATATAATTTGTTTCTATGTTAAACAAGATTGAAACTAAATAGAGATAACTCAACTGCTTGCTGCAGGGAGATGTGCCTTAAAAGACTCCTGGGAAACGAGGCTGGGGACGCAGCAGCTTCCACAGCAGGGCTTGTTTCAAACCCTGCCTTCTCGGCCGGATGTCATCAACTGCTCCTCTCCTGCCCCGAGAAGGACCCAGTGAAAGCCCTCCAATCTAATAAACATCACTCCCTACTCTCCCTTCTCTAAGACACAACTTTACAAAGAACGTCTTTTCTTTTCATCATAGGAGCTTTGCTTGTTCAGCAGGCTTTTCAGCCCGCCACTTAAGAGTCATGATTTCACACTTTGACTTGTGAAAGTCAACTTCATTACACTCCAACTTCATTACTGTCAAATTTCTGGCAGTGGTGTGGTATGCAACTATACTCTCTAAACAAATGTTAATTAGTAGTTCTAGTGCAGTAAGCCATTCTGCTTTCACTCAGTAATAAAGCAAGGGATAAAATACCAATCAATATCATTTGTTAGGGAACTCTGCAATTTCCCGAGAGTTGTAGACAACAGATACAGAAAAATGTACACATGGTTTTAAAAATCCAAGGCTTGAACTGTTCAATATGCAGAGAATTCCCTTGCGTTTTTGCATTCGTTTTTAGCAGATTCTCTCATATTGAAAGAAAAAAGAAGTATGTCAAGTGTGTGTTAAGTGTGAAGAGCTCTAGAAGCAAGTTTGGAATATAAATCAGGCTGGGATATTTACAGTGCTCAGCTGCTGCCACCAGGTATCAGAAAGGTCTGCCAGACCTCTGACCCCACTTGCTTCCAGACAACCTCCCATGCCACTTATCTATTAGGCTCAAGTACTACACACGTGAGAAACGGTACCCTGGAGAAGACTGGTCTCAAACAGAAGTATGTGCACTCTAGACTTTCTATGACATACATCTGGGAATACATATATTCCTTGCTTGACGACCTACCTGGTTAATGACTGTTCACAACCCGCCACTCAGTTTTACAACCCATCTTTTTTGTTGTAAAGCTCTGTGCATCTTGTTTAGAGAGCCTCAATGTCTTTTTTGTACAGTATGTCTTGTTTATACAGTACTGTAATTTTTTTTTGGTATAGGGAATTGAACTCAGGTCCTTGCGCTTGCAAGGCAGGCAGCAGAACCACTGAGCTAATTCCCCGGCCCCAGTACTGTAACTTTTGTTGATTGTACTGTACTAGTTTCATTTTCTGTTACACATTACAGTACTGCATATCAGAGTTATGCAAATAAAAGCAAAGCCATCAAGTTGGATTTCTCTTGTCCTCAACACTGGAATGTACGTACTATATACAATCCCTCATTTAGCAACTAACTCTTTTAACAGCCTAGACACAGGCAGTGGACTTAGTCGTTACACAAGAAGCATTCGTATGGCATTCATGAAATACGGAGGAGTGCATGTCACTCAACCTCTAAAGCACACTCCACAAGTTTCTAAAGAAACCAATCTCTAGACTGTCATTTGCACAAGAAGTTTTTTCTCTAATCTACTTGAGAACACGCCAGCTGGTCAGCCGTCAGGAAGATCTTCCTGTCCCTCCTTCTCCTCCTCCACATCCCCCACCATCTGTGAGAGATCCCCATAACCCTCCCGCACCTAAATCTCACTAAGGGACATGGCCCAGGAGGGAACCTCTTGTTAGCAAGCAAGTGACTAAATCACTACATTTCTGTTAAGGGTAAAGTCTGGAGTTAGAAACAGGGTACTGGGGTCCACGCTGTGATATTCTAAATCTAGATGTAGAGGGAAGTGGTAAGAATGTCAGTTTTTATTTAATTCCTTCATTCTTCATACTGACTCTAAATTGAAAAGGTCCACATCATTCTTGAGTAACAGTTCCATAAGAACAAAGTGGGTGGCAGTAAGAAATAACAAATGCTAATGTGTTTTTTATGGGGGGGCGGTAAGCATAGGAGATCATTTTTAGCAATCCTTAATGCTCCATGTCCTTAGCTGGAAAGAAAATTACCTTTGAGCAGCCAAGGCCACACGACATGCACACACTTCACACACACACTAGAAATAGACCGACTACGATGTACTATATTCACTAGGTGTGTCATCCTGGGCAAGAAACTTAAGCTCTGTGCTTCCAGTTCTGTCACCTATAAAATTGGAATGACAATAGTAGCAGTTCATTAGGTTAAGAGAATTACACAACTTAAATATCTTTAAGTGCTTAGAAGAATGCCTGAATATAAGAAAAATAAGCATTTTTTTCTTTTTACTTAAATATGGAATGCTTCACAAATTTGCGTGTCATCCTTGAGCAGGGGCCATGCTAATCTTCTCTTTTTCGTTCCAATTTTAGTATATGTGCTGCCGAAGCAAGCACAAATAAGGATTTTTTAAAAGTAAATGTCCCTTTAAAAGCAAAACTGAGCTCATATAAAAATAAGCAAAATCCTCAAGGCCCCCAGGTAAAGAAGGAACTAAAAACCAAAGATACATAAATGGGGCTGCACTGGAAATAAAAGTGAGAGCATTTAACTGATCAGAGAAAGCTTTGGGTTTTGGTTTTTGTTTTTGTTTTTCAGTGATATTCCCATTTATTTCACTTTCAGTAATGTTTTTCTCCTACATGATTGAACACATATTTTGCTTTAAAATTAACAGTCACAGTTGAAGAAACAGTGGCTTATTTTTCTAATTAAGTTTCCAAGCTACTGAATCTTAAGGCTTCAACCTTAATGTTGCACCTTATTATTTTCACTGAACAATACGATCCTCTATTTTAATAATTCCTGGTGAGCAGCAATTTTGTTTTTCCAGTGGTTTCCATTTGCCAAACAGTCATAACAGATGGTTCAACATGGTGCCCACCACTTCCAGGGATTCCACCTGATGAGTCCTCAGTGCAAGAGCCATGGCAGCCTCCACCCAGAGTTCAGCCATTGGGACTTCTCTATCGGGGCTGGCCAAGAAGTCCCGCTTTGGCTGCCAGGGCCTCATTCTGCTGAATATGGTATTCCTGAAATCTCATGGATATTCTTTGTGTCATTTTTAAATGTTTCTGTAAGCAATGTTCTGAACAGGTGATCTCTTCAGGTTTTACTTCTCTTGTTGTGAAGTCTTTAACACAGTCCAAAAAGCAGGTTTCTGTAAGTTTATTGTAGGTTCCCAGGAATTCCCTAAACTGTTTTATCTGATCAGACTCTGATATCTGTGCAGCCATATCCTTTTGATTTATGAGTCACCTTTTCTGACGCATGAGTTTCCTGAGTTTCTGAGAAGTAGTTGTCCACCCTCTGCTCAGGGTTCCAGTGAGGCCTGATTTCTACAAGGTTCTCCAAAGCTGGGCCCTCAAGTTCTCATTTAACTTTAGACTTCTATGAAAGTAGACATTCAGTCACTGGCTTTCGTCCCTATGAGGCTGGGGGGACTGTGATGACTGTCCACCTGTAGGGGTTAAAGTGGGCACCTTGGCCGGAGAATGGCAGAGAGCGAAAGCTTTGGGTTTTAATGGTGACTCAGAGATAGGTGATTTGGCAGAAGATAATCACGCATTTTCTTTGAAGCAACTGTCTCCCCTTTGCCTAAAAGGGGTGGCACGAGGGCCGGGGATGTAGCTCAGTGGTTTCACCGCCTGCTGCGCAAGCGCAAGCACAAGGATCCGAGTTCAATCCCCAGTACCAAATAAAAGAGGTGGCAGGGCTGGCCCCTACCTACTGGGAAGCTCATCTGCTTTGGCCTATAGGCCCAAAGGCAGGGAAAATGTGTGCTACAAGGTGTACAGAAGAGGTACACCTCCACGTGGGTCAGGGTCACCTGCACAGCATACAGAACCACTGCAGTTCAATCAGACAGCACATGATTCCCTTGGGTAATTATTTTTGAGATACAATCCAAAACCAAACTTTTAAGGAGAACAACACACAAGGAGAAAATGTTAGCAGACAAGACCCAATACTATTAGAGATCACAGGCCCCACTGGAATACTCAGTAAAAGAACACGAACACACACACACACACACACACACACACACACACACACGACACTATGAAGTAAACACAGTTTTT